TGCTGCGAGTCGCGCGGTGAGGCGGCAGGCGGAGGAGCAGCAGAGGATGCGGACGGGCAGTAAGATATTCAGCGAGAGTGGCAGGGAAGAGGAAAACATAACAGCAGGAGCAGATGGGAGTAAGAAACGTTATCAAGAACAGGGAAGGAGGAGGAACAGGAATACATGGGAAGGGAGAGGGGCAGGGACAGGAACAGGAGAGGAGATCAGCAAGAACTCCCCGCAGGGGCAGAGGGCAGGAATCAAGGAAGGAAGAGGGAAATACCTCATCCCGTGGTTGGACGCGTGCATGTCCCATCGGACATGCAACGATTGCTTCCATTCGGCATGAACAGCGGGGGGGACAGGCACTGAGCACATGGGGCAGCCGGGAACCTCGGAAAGAGCCTGAGGTCTGAGGAAGGGGTATCAGCTTGCTGTTTTGAGCCCTGCCTGACTGTTTAAGCGCGCCCTCTCTCCCTTTCTCCTTCCCTCGTTGTCAAGCTCCCCCTGCACCTGCCCCTGCCTCTGCCTATGACCCCACCACTGTCAATGTTATTGGTCGTGCATCAGGTGGGGGGGGGGGATGGAGGAGGAGGAGGAGGAGGAGGAGGAGGAGGAGGAGGAGGTCTTTTGGCTGACATGAAGCAGGGGGCCAGAGCATTGAAGTTTTGGGAGAAATCACCGACTGCAAAATTCTTGAAGGTAAGCAGGAGGAAGCGCAGGAGGAGGAGGAGAAAGTGCAGGAAAAACACAAGGAACAGTTGATATGAATGCTTCCCTTCACCGCAGTCATGATGCTTGTTGATCATACTTGACCTTTTTTGAAAACTGATTGTTGGGAAACTGATTGTGCTGTGTTGTATTGGTATCAGATCGTTTATCATTGCTATCTTGTTGTTGATCGACCTCCGTCTCATCTCTAATGTCTTCTGCTTTTGTTCTATCGCGCTTCTTGATTTGCGATTGATCTTCTGCCAGGGGAAGAAGAGAAACAAGAATGGAGGAAAATTCTCAAGGTACCTAGCTCGCTTCCTCTCCTGTACCTTTATCGCTGCTGCTGCTTCTTCTTCGTCTTCTTCAGTTGCTACTGCCGCCGCCGCTGCTATTACTGCTTCATCATCATCATCATCATCATCATCATCATCATCATCATCATCATCATCATCATCATCATCATCATCATCATCATCATCATCATCATCTGCTACTGCCGCCGCTGCTGCTATTGCTGCTGCTTCTTCTGATGTACGAACCCCGCTTAACTCTTATTTTCTATCTCAGGGGAAAGAGGACCGAACGAAGGCCAGCAAAAAAATGGTGAGCAGGAGCAGGAGCTGGAGCAGGAGCTGGAGCAGGGGCAGGAGCAGCGGCGAGGAGCAGGAGCAGGAGCAGGAGCAGGAGCAGGAGCAGGAGCAGGAGCAGGAGCAGGAGAAGGATCAGGAGCAGGAGAAGGAGCAGGAGCAGGAGCAGGAGCAGGAGCTGGAGCTGGAGCTGGAGCTGGAGCTGGGGCAGGGGCAGGGGCAGGGGCAGGGGCAGGGGCAGGGGCAGGGGCAGGAACAGGAGCAGGAGGGCTGGTAGAGGAGTGAGGAGATTTTGCTGACGATTCCACAGAAAGAAGAGGAGCATTCGAGCAAGAGGAAGAGGTGCTTGCTGTTTCATCCTCCTCCTCCTCCTCTTCATGCTGCTGCTGCTGCTGATCTTTCTCCTGCTTCACGTCACCTCCTCCCTGCTCTTTCATAACTTCCACTTGGTTTTCTTGTTCCGCTCCATATTTTGTTCCATTCTCTCCTCGCCATGTTTTCCTTCCCTCCCTCCCTTCCTCTGCCTCTGACTTCTTCACTTTCAGAGTGTCAGAAGGCAAAGAGTAAAACATCTTTCATGTCTGTTACGACCCTTTCTCTGCAGCCATCCCATCCCACATCCCAAATCTGCTCTTCTCTGCTCTGCTCTGCTCTCTTTCAAGACTTTACTCCGACACTCGGTTCTTGGCCATGCGCCAATTCGATTCACTTGTTCAAATCTTTGTTTACAATGAAAGTTTGGTAACGGATTAAAATCGCTCCTTTCCCTTACATACTTCACCGATATGGCTGCAGCAACCAAGAACAATGTCAGAACATGTTTCATATCGAAGAGATAAGAACCTGTTGCGGATGTTGTTGCTGCTGCTGTTCCATCATCTGCAGTGACTTTCAGAAACCTTGAAGTCATCATGTACAAACGCTCTCATACCCAACAACAACACACATCACATTCCTTGTGAGATCTCAAAGGAATAAAACATGATGCAAGAAATCTTCCTCTACTCCTCCGTTCTATTACTCCTTCCCTCCCTTCTCCTCCCCTCCCTTCCCCTCTCTCCTCTCTCCTCCCATCTCCGTCCCCTCCCCACCCCTCTATTTTGCATTTGTCATCATTTCTCACCATTCGCAGTAGCTCCTGCTGCTTCTTATCATCTGTTGGGACATCCTGGCGCCCTTGCGGTGTCATAGACCCTAAGAAACCCCTCACAAGAGTAGACAAGGGAGGGAGGTGGAGGAGGAAGGAAAAAGGAGGAGGAGGGGAGGGGGAAGGACAAGGGGAGGAAGGGAGGGGGCGAATGTAACGAGAGGATGGGGAGGGGAGGGGAAGGAAGCAGTACAAGAATTCACCTTGATTCTGCTGTAAGTTCATTGGTACTTGATACCCGAAGTTGTTCATTCCACCGCCCCCTGTGAACAGAGAGAGTGAGATGGCGATAGGAAGATTTTACATGAAGAAGGAAACACATATAAGAAGACAGAGTATAGTGGAAACACATCATCATACCTTGGGGTCCTGTCTTGGGCAAGAAAGGGATGGAAGACACTTGCCCCTGCTGGTGATCAGGTCAAGACATGCCGGGGAAGGAGAAGAGAAGAGGAGGAGAGAAGAAAGGAAGGAAGTAACGTTGAAGGACACGAGAGCGAGCGAGCGAGCAAGCAATCAGATCGAACCAAAACAATGACAGCGCAACATCACACATCACAACATCGGAACTTGTTGAAGAAGTCTCCATCTCCATCTCCATCTCCATCTCCATCTCCTCACACGTTGCAGACCTGGTTGAACTGCGACTGCTGGCCGCTGTCGGGGGCCATGGCGTTCTGGTTGCGACCCAGCGTGTCACTCTGACTGCCAAAGATGCTGTTGAAGGTTCCGTTGACGCTCGAGAGTGACCTTGCAGAGGAGTGTCAGGAACAACAAATCAGAACACGCTCGCTACTTCAACGAGGACATCTCGGTTGCTGATCCACTGAAAATCGATCTGTGTGATAATCATGCAGGATAGCGCTTGTACGTGTGCAGTGGGGCAGGAGAGGGGGAAGGAGCAAGTGACGAGGGAGACGAAGAGGAAGAGGAAGAGAGGGAGGGCCGAGGAGAAGAAAGAGGGAGGGGTGAAGCGGGACGAGGAGAACAAGAGAGGGTACGAGAGAGAGGAAGGGAGGAGAGTACGTAGAAGGAGAGCATGGAAGTGGGAAAGTATGACAATCAAGGCAAGAATGCTGTTGATTGAGAGGTGGCATCACAAAGCATCTCAAATCGACTCAGAATATCTCTAGCCTAGTAACTCGAAGTGCTTGTAGACAATGTGTTCTACAACCTTGTATACACACACCACAACCTCTCGCCCGATCACTGTGTACATGTACGCAACCTCTGTACACCAATCCTTGCATGCAAACATAACAGAAGCGGCACACACAGCACACGCATCTGAGCATCTTCAACAAACACCAACATGCCATGCGCAACATCTCTTTACCCCATCGTCCCGTTGACAGAGGAGAGAGGAGACAGAATCCCCTGGAACGAGCCGCAGGCCGCCGCCTGCTGCGCGCTGTACTGCATGGAGTCGTTGGAGTGCATCATATCCATCCCCGAGTGCATCTGGTTGTTGGGGTGATGCTGATGAGTCTGCATGCCCTGCCATCCTCCTCCCGAGTTGTTGTTGTTGTTGTTGTTCGCGACCTGTGGGTGTCGCAGTGAAGTCAGCCAGGGAGGAGGAAGGATAGGGGACAACGGAGCGAGAGCAGGGAGGGACCGAGGAAGGAAAGTGGTGGAAGAGGAAACAGGGAAGAGGGAGGAGGGGGAGTAGTAGTAGGAGGATGAGGAGGATGTGATCAGATCTCTGACATGCTGCTGGTTGTTGCCGATGCCTGTGATATTTCCTTGTCGCGCCATGGGGTCCAGACCCCCTGCTGACAGCCGTTAGTTTCAAGCACAGCAGATGGCGAGGAAGCCGCAGGAAAGCAGAAGAGGGAACAGCCTGAGAGAGGAGGGCGCAGAGGTACACGAGCAGGGAGGAGGGAGGAAAGAGACGGTGGAAGGTGGAAGAGCAAGCCAAGGCGAAGCGGGAAAGAGGAAGGGAGGCGAGGGGGAGAGGAGAAGGAGCAAACGAGCATGTGGAAGGGGTTGGAGCAGGGAAGTTTGAACGCTGGTGGGGGGCGGGGTATTGGGAGAGGGGCAGGGGGGGGGGATAAGAAAGAAGGACCTGACTGCATGCTGTTGCCCATACTGCCAAGGTTGCTTGTGCTTCACGTTCCATCAGCATCGCTGGATCGTCAAACAGGTAGTACAGACCTTCCAAGATTGTTTCCGATGCTTCCCATTCCTGCGTGTTTGTGTGAGAGGGGTAACGGTCAGACAGAGCAAGAGGAGGAGAGTGGAAAAGGAGTTAGACATGGTAGCTAGAAGAAGGTGAGGTACAAGGTGAGGAGGATAAAGAGGCGGAGGAGGATAAGAAGGAGGACAAGGAGAAGGAGAAGAAAGGGGGATGCGGAGGGAAAGGGAGGGGGGGGGGGTTGGATTGTGAGAGGTGTGGAGGAAGAGATTTAGCAGCGGAGGGAGTTTAGAGTGGAAAGACGGGAAATTGAAGGGCTCCTTCACCTGTTCCGCCCAATGTGCTTCCGATGCTTGCAAGCTGTGAAACGATTACGAGGGAAGAAGAAGATGTGCTCCAAAACTTGCCTGAGAAAGCCAATCTTCAAGGTTTGACGGATCGATCGATTGAAGCTGCTTTCTCTCATCGTTCATGCTCAGTCCTCCCATCGTGTTCATCCCTGTTGCCACAAGTTCACGTGAGTGATCACATCTATCACGATCATCATCCTGAACATGATCATGAACATGAACATGAACATAATCATCATCACATCATGATCATCATCGCACCGATTGATGTAGCTGAAGGATTCTGGAGAGCGAATCATCAGCACGCTGCCAGCAACCGCGCAAACATCAACCTGGGCAGCAGGTGGTCTCCCCTGATCGTACTGCCGCTGACTGGGAGGAAACATCCCATCGTCATCCCGATTCCGCTTGATTCCGACCATCCCCATGCCCTGCAGCACGATATTCAGCTGCCGCAGCAACGTCGGGTCCAACTTCAACCTGGGAGGCGATGGAGGTGATGGAGGGGGAAGGAGCAGACATCTGCTGGGGCGGCTGCTGGGAGTTCCCTTGCTGGATCTGCTGGGGCGGCTGAGGCGTTTGTGTAGTCCGCTGCATCCCCAAAGTCAGCGAGAAAGCGATCGGCGAGCGGCAGCCTCGTACCTGCTGCTCTTGGATAGCATTGCATGCTTTCATCAGCACCCAGGCTAACCTCGAGATCTTCTCTTCAAGGACCTGATGATGCTGCAATCAGGAGGGTTGCGAGAGGAGAGCACGTGGCAGTACCTTCTGCTTCTGCTGCGCGTTCATAACCTCTTGATACAGGATCTGCTTCTCCATCTCCTTCTGCAGCAGCGCGTTCTCGAACTGAGATTACAGTAAGGTTTGCATCACAGCTTCTCTCCTCAAGCAATCAGGACCTGCGTTTGTCTCGATTTGACTTCGTTGACACTATTCACGAGGTCGTCCATGTCGACCTGAACAGGAACGTTAGAACCATGAACGTTCTGGGAACGCGAGTTCACCTTTGACCTAGCATTGTCTGACTTTTCCAGAGCCACCTGGAGAGCAGGAGGACAAAGTCAAGACAACACAAAGAAATTAAAGTTGCATGCCAAAGAACCGGCCTTCAAAAATCAAACAGTCGTCCTCACAAAGCATACCTTTCTTTTGATGTTGTGCAACAGGCTGGGCTGATCACGCTTGAAGTATCTGCGAGAATTGATCATCATAAACGAAGCGACAGACATAGGAACCACATACTTGTGCTGAAATTCACACACTTCCGGGTCTTGAGTAGTTTTGTGAAAGCCGTAGAGCTAATCAAAGCACGGATGAGAAGGAAATTGCATGAAACTGGAAAGATTCACATTCAGCTGTCGAACAAAAGAGGCGAAGTTGCTGTGCTTGAAGTACTTTGGAATAACTTTCTGTCAGAAGAGCACAGTCAGCAAGGCACTCGGCATAGAAGAGAGCAAGCAAGCACACCCTACCGTTGCAAAGGCTGATGGGTCCGAGATCAGCACAGTGGTCCCATCGGCACCCCATCTTATTGACTCCGGGTTGGTATTGGATGACAGCATTCGCAGCAGCTTTGTGATGAAAACAGGGAGGCAGGAATCATCACCCTCCTCCCCTGTCTTCTTCATGTCCTCATCCTCGTCCGACATCTCCTAGCCAATGCACCCCTGCGATTCCCCAACCATCAGGACATGTCACTCGGAGAAGAGCAGGCATCTCTCAAACGCTATCAATAGCACACTAGTGCAGGCGTCTCTCAAAGTTCTGACAGCATGAGTTTTCTCTGCACAACCTATGACTGGCGATGGCCATGATCGCTGTCACAATCCGCTTTCGATCGAGGTTGAAGGAAGATAAAGACCCATTGAAGCTTTGCATAGAGATCCACTACAGCTCTGTCTACATAAAGCCATATCATCATAGATCATGGGTTCAGCTTTGTTTCCTCTAGAGCGCCGTCTTATCCTCCATCACCTTCAGCCCTCAGCAAAGCAAGTGCCTCTGCCGCTGTTTTCCCATCATTGCATCGAGCAGCTCACATTCCTCTGCTCACCGTCTTTACCTTGCAATCGTCTAGACTGATGCTTTCTCAATCATAATCTCTCCTCCTCTCCTCCTCTCCTCCTCTCCTCCTCTCCTCCTCTCCTCCTCTCCTCCTCTCCTCCTCTCCTCCTCTCCTCCTCTCCTCCTCTCCTCCTCTCCTCCTCTCCTCCTCTCCTCCTCTCCTCCTCCCAGGCCCGTTCCTAGCGCTCGCTCTCCAAAAGTAAGACGCCGCCATTATGCGCCGACTTGAGGGACCCATCCTAGAGGGTGGGGTGGTCCTGGAAATCTGGGGTGGGGTGATTGTCCTGTCACAGGGTGATGGTGTCTATGATCGAAATAGGAGGGTGGGGTAGTTCTACTATGAATTGGACGGGACCTTTAGGACCCCCTCAAATCAAGTGGGCATCCCACCGCACCCAAATTTTATACTAGGTGGGTAGTCGATGTACTTGAACACTTAAAGAAAACAGGGGTGGGGTAGTACAGGTACCCCATAAGCAATCCAAAATTGGCTTCAAGAAGGGGGTGGATCACAGGCAATCAGGAAGATATCCGGGACAGCGTAAGGTGGGTAGTCGCTTTAATTGCTCCACCCCACCCTATAGTTGACCATACCCTCTGAGCGAATGTAGTACCCCTACCCGCAGAAACTCGAACGATAGATTCCCCTCCTGACCCACCATTGTTCCTGTTATGACCACCCCTGTCGTCGCTATTGAGATTGAAATACCCCCCGGTACCCCCCACTCCCACCCCCACCACTCCCACCAAGAACAGGTACATCTCCATGCCGAACCCGCTGGAGCTTTCTCGAAACGATTTCGTTTTGCATCGGTTCCGATCTAGTCGGTTCGAAATAGAATCTCATTCCTCCAGATACTTTTTATGATCTCGAAACAAATCTATTTCGACATCCATGGTAACATGCTCTCCGATTTGTCATGCCTTGTGCATGCCCAAGACATGGTCATCACCTTCGATTCAGCAGAGCGTCTCATTTTAAAAACTTCTTTATATGATTGTACCTCAAACGAGTAGTTTTCATTTATTTTGATTTCACCTGACTGTTTTGCGTGTCAGCAGGTAAAAACTGAATGTCTTTTTTGGTTTTATAAATGCGTTATGAAAGTTTATAACGATCAGATCTCTTAATTTTAAAGGGTTTGCTAAAAGAGTCTGGTTAAAAACATACAGTACCCCTTAAATTAATGTACCCTTGAAACTGACCTCGACTACCCATCCAAATCGTACCCAACCCCTAATGTTTATATAGTTTTTGACACACCCCTACCAGCTGCAAGGCCCCACCCCACCCCTGAAAAAAAGATTTATGAGGTACTACCCAGCCAATATCTTCTGATTACCCCACCATCTGATATGAGCTCTGGGATTTGAAAGTCTGTACCGGTGATTCAGAAAATACCCCACCTCCCATGGGAAGTGACCCACCTAAGGCAAAAATGCATCACTCGGCGCTCCGAAGTTACTATGCCGTGGAGCCAGGATGGGAAGAAAAGACGACTGTTTCCGTTGATACGATCTTACGGAATCATGATGGTTTAGTAGATCTGATCCAACATATGGTGCTGACTTGTCTTCTTGTGATCCCTGACATGCTCAACCCCGTACTTGGTGTCATACTTTCCATTTTGTTCCGAAGTCAGAGTTTGTGCCATCCTTTCATCCTACTCTAACAGAAAGCAAAGAGATTGGCTCATTGTACCTTCAGTGATGTGTTTGATCCTTTTTTGTTGTGAGCACACACTCTGATTATCCAGGCAGAGTGTGTTGCAGAAGTCAGTGCAGGAATCGAATTTGATGGAAGAAGCGAGGAATGCATGACTTCTGATGACTATCATGCGCTGTCTTCTTGTCGAATCATGACCTAGATTGAATTTGACTGCGAGAGTTTCTTCAAGATTTTGAAAATTTGTAAGGATACGTGCGAGGCGTTGCTTGGAATTTAAGCTAGCGTAGTGATTGAAACGCAAGTGTTCTCTAACTTCACCCCCACCAATTCATTTGAGAGATTTGATTCTAACCATACCTCCAGGTTTTGAGCACTCAATGAAACTCCAGCTTCTTCTTCTCAGCGTAAGATCCTCCTGCTCCCGGCCCTCCTCATTCGCCTTGCTACACCCAACAACTCTTTTTCCTGCTGTACTTTCTCTTTCCTGTGCAATAATGTGACGATCCGTGAGCAGGCGCTCCTGATATCTGTCGAGGGATTCTCTGGATTGAACCCTCTACCTTTGACAGCTCTGAGAGCACGAGCATGCACAGCACGCCCCCATGCTTGGAGGATGCAGGCGACTTCAGGGCCTGACCCTGACAAGCCAGACGAGAGGTAAAGGCATGATCAGAAGGGGATTCTAGCAGAAAATCTGGGAGAGGAAGGAAGTGATAAGTCGATGCATGGTTGATAAGGGGGATGAGAAGGGGAGGAAAGTAGACGTAGGAGGAGGGGAGGGGTGCGGCCGTCAATCTCCTGAGAGAAAGGAGAGTGAAATGGTAGAAGATAAATCTGACTCAATGACAGCGGAGCATCAGCTAATTTCGACATGTCTGCCCTTAATGCCCGTATCAGCAAGCTGAAGGCAAGCAAACTCTCTGCATTCTTTACCCTCGGATTCAGACAGACACGTTCACAAGATATCATCCATTTCCTCATTCCCACTCATGCTCTTCCACACTTACTCTCATTTTGCTGCAGGAGCGAGAAGCCAACCCTGTCCTCAACCTTCAAGACAAAGTTTCAGATGCGCTTGAACCGTGAGCCTCACCTTCCCAAGTTCATCGACATCTCCATGCCCTTCCCTCTCACTGTTGCCTCCTCGCTCAGTGTACACTCCTCCCTTACGCATGACCTGCCGCAGGATGTCAATGGAGGCCATGAAGCTCAAACAGAAGATCCCCGACCCACGAGGAGCGATCCCTGTCACCGGACTGCCAAAGGAAGTCCCCAACACCTTGTAAGCATAAGAGTGACATGTTGGCTGCAGTGGGTCCTTCCTCTTAGCCTCATCGTCGGCCTCTCGGTCTTCTCTGCCATCGTCCAGTAAGACAGAGCTCGTTCCAAGTCTTCCCCACCCTGATTCTCTACCAGGTCCACCTCCGGCGGCTCTTCTGACGTCTCCGGGTTGGCGTCTGGTAGCTTCTAGGTGTTCTGTGACGCTGTTTGACAATATAGTGATTTTCAACTTTCTCAAACAAGCCAGATTGAGAGATCTCCATGACAATCTTAACAACACGCTCCCCTTGTCCGCCTCGTTTATATGATTGAAATTCAAATTTAATATCAACAAGAATTCAGTACTCGCTCACGAAGCATCACTGTAGCGTTCAGGCAGCATTCATCAGTGTGAGTAGGAAGGGGCCATCACGGAGTGACAGCAGGCAACACCCCGCTTACTTCTTCGAGCCGCCTTTCTTCCCCTTCGCTCAAGTCAGCTCACCACTCAGCATCGCCCCCTTACCAGACCTTAGTTTGCTTGCCCTTGGAGGCCTTGGCGGCTTTCTTGGGGGCAGCCTGCGGCCGGTCACGAGCAGTGATGACCATGTTATTTTTCCTCACCTTCTTAATAGTCTTCTTGACAGCTGCCTTAGGCTTCGTCACCTGCGCAGCGTCAGTGAAGGGCGCTGTGTTTTCGTCCCCTTGCCTTCTTGACGGCCTTGGGCTTCTTCTGCTGAGGCTCGTTCTCGTCTCCTTTGGTCTCCGAGGGATCCCTGGGTACGCCTCAGCCTCCTCCTTCCTCCTCCCACACTCAGGCTACAAACCAGATAGCCTTGGGCTTCGGATCCCGATGTGGACGTCCTTCAGTCGTCTTTGGGGGCATCGTAGTGCTTCAAGTGTATCTGCAATCATACAGGATGGTGTCAGGCTTTGCATGGAGATTTTTGTTTTGTTAGAACTTTTGATTATTGTTGTTAGAACCTGTGAGACTTGCACAGTATGCTAATCACTCCTACTTCCCGTGATTCTCATTCGCACATGATGCGTATAGGTCGCCATCCATTCGTGCTGGGGACGGACATCAAAGCGGAGCATATCGTTATGAAGCAACTTATGTGGAAATTTACAACAAAAAATCATGATGCATGCACTCTTCTACAGAATGGAACACAAATTTGAAGTTTCTCACAAATGTCTGAATTGCAGTTTCGACTTCAATCTCTTGCTCTCTCTCTCTCTCTCATCTTATTCCATTCTCATTCCACTCGTTCACAAGCATGTTTTGATGATTATTTTTGTGTTGTGAAGTACGATTTTTCGTGCGATTGTCTCCAAAAAACATAAATTTGCTGTGACAGGTGGCACTGAAAACCAAAATAACAAAACTGATACTGCACTCTACTATTGGTTCGTGTTGCACCAAGAACACATTTCTTCAAGTATCATCCTTGCCCATTCTTTCTTTCATAACGAGTGAACTTTATTCTGCATTTGAATGCCTTGTCTCTTGTCTTCTCTTCCAGTTCCTTCCATTCTCTCCATGATGTCTTCTTCTGACCATCTCACATCTTCCTTCCTTCTTCCTTTCGTCAACTCTTCTATTCTTAACGTTTCTGTTCTTTTCTTCTTCTTTCTCCTCTTTCCCTGTTCTCATCTTCATCATCGTAGCTCCACATAGATGTTTGCTTCTCATATCTGACTCCGCTGTCCTCTCCTCTCGCCCCTTCCCCAACATTCTTCGACCCAAGTGGAAACAAAAAATAGCGCCCGACATGTACACTAGTGGATGACCCCTGATGGAGAGGTTTATCAAGTTCGATTTTTGTTAATCGAAAAATGTGCAACGTATTAAAACATAATAATCTGTTTTTCAAATTAACCAACAAAAGTACATAGTAAAACGTCGAATATTTTCCAAGAAGATCAGGGGTAGGGTCATGGGGGATTTCTCTTTTTTTCTGTAGACACGCCTGGTGGCTTCCGGGCAGTTTCAAACCAAACTGACCCTATGGGCCTCATCCCCGCCTCGGCAGGCCCAATCCGAGCCTTGTCCTTGTACTGATTTTTAACTTAACTTTGAGTACGGTAAACGCACTGCGGCGGCATCACTGTCAGCAATCAGAGTCATGCTAACTTAATTAAGTAAACTTTCACTTGTGAGATCGGACTCGATGATCATCGGATACTGATCGGACAGTCCGGTGGCACTGCCCGCGGCCGCGCCGGGGCCGGGCTCGGAGAGTGCAGAGCTGCGGTCGGCTCCGCCGCCCGGAAGTTTCGACAGAGTCAGACAGTCCATCACTGGCGAGTCAGTCCCGGGCCTGTGACGGTGACGGAGCCTCGGAGGCTGGGCCCGGGCCCGCATCGCCGTCAGGATGCCCGGACCGCCGGGATGGCCGGGCCGGGCATGCCGCGCCGCACTGCGGCACCGGAGTCCGCACTGCGGACTGCGGCCGCCCGCCCCGCCGCGGCGACGGTCACTGTGCCAGGACGGTGCCCGCCGCCCTGAGGCTCAGTCGGAGTCTATAGCACTGGCACGGGCGGATCGGACGGTACTGGGACCGTACAAGTACTACCGGCGGCGTACGGCGTACGGTACCGTAGTACCCCGGGCCCTGACGCGGCCGGGACTCGGGAGGCGGCCCGCAAGTTTGACGGTAAGTTGCCGCAGTGCGGCGGCCGCGGTCGGGCCGCCGCGCCGCGACCCCCGCCAAGTACGGAGTACGGTACTACCGTACGGCATGTCCTCATCTCTATCTGCTGATACAATCAGTACCTAAAACTTACTAAGTTACTAAGTTCAAGTTGCAGATTTCGAAATTTGATGCCGCGGATTTGGAAATTTGATGCCGCATTGCCCATAACGTACCTGCCTGGCGCGGGCCGCCTATCTTGTCGGAGCTCCGTCGGAGTATATACTAAGCGCCCGGACTCCGAGGCGGCGGGTGGCCGGGCGGCCATCGGCGATCCCGTCGGAGGACACAAAAATCAAGATCTCCTTCTGAAAAGACTTCTTTTCGACATCATTTCCAGTCAACCCTTTTCAAAACACTTCTTTTCTACTTCATACCAGTCGCTCCCCCGCCTTCTTGTCTCCTTGCACTCCCCTGCCCCTCACCTCTAACGAGCCTACCGATTGTCTCCATGCCCTCCCCCCCTCTCCTCCCCTCCGCTGACCCTCGCCGTAGTCGTCGTCCTCAACCCTACCGCGTCTCCTTCACTCTCCCTCAGGTCGCCCGCCTCTTCCACCTCCGCCAAGACGACGCCGCCGCTGCCCTGGTAAGCTGCTCCTAGCGATAAAAACAAGAAGAGGAAGTAGGAAGTAAGAAGGGGTTGACCAGCACACACAGACAGCCAAGCATGGCCTAGACACAAATACACCTCCATACATACATAGAGAGGACAAGGCTGGAGGAGAGAGGCAGTGGGGAGCAAGCGGGCGGTCAGGAGTCTCACGTCCTTGCAGGGGATCTCGCTGTCCACCCTCAAGGCCGTCTGCCGTCAGCTCGGCATCAGGCGCTGGCCCTACACCCGCCAGGGCTACCGGCCGCATGCGCACGCGCGGGAGGTGCAGCAGGCGGCACAGCTGCATCAGTCCGTCGCCTGCCAAGCCGAGCAGGAGGGGGTTGCAGACGAGGAAGACGACGAGGCCGAGGACGAGGACGAGGACACAGATCAGCAGCCTGTACACAGCGCGGATCAGCGCCGCGGACACGGAGACTGGCTGAGCGAGGCGTGGGTCGCCTGGTACATCCGGTCGAGGGACGAGGACGAGGTGATCTGGAGAGGGTCGGGGGGAGGAGTGCAGCTATGGCAGGAGGATGCATGAGGAGGTAGGTGGAAGAGGACGACCTCAGCTCGGATCCTTCAAGGCCAGCACTCTAGTCCGGCACGGCATAGCTCAACAGCTCGCGGAGCCCTGCAGGGTACGCAATGACGAGGGGCTGCCCGGCACTCCATGCTTCGCAGCCTGCGGTGGTATCAGAGAGCCTGGTGATGGCGATACAGCAGGCGCTATTGGGCATTTGTGGGGTAGGAGGGTGTTGTTGTGCAATCCAACACAACTGCAATTACAAAGGATGTTGTTGTGGTATTTAACACAAATACAATTACAAACTCAGTGTGTACATGTCTCTGTAGATGCAGAAAGGGATCATTGCACATCTTCCATGCTTGCTTGCTTGACCTTGATAGACATGCAGTTGGGGTGTTTATATCTCATATCCTATTAACGCCTCCGTACATGCCTTTCTCCTTCACCTCCTGTCCTCCTCACCTCTCCTACCCCACAGACAGTCGGAGACTCCTCCTCTACCACCATCTGACCGTCTCCTCAGGCATGGCTCTGCTTTGTCCAATACAGCTACTTCCTCAAGGTCCAGCACCGGCCGATGCCGCTCAGCCGCTCCTGGAGCTCGTGGCCCGGCCAGATCACGTCGACTTGATCCTCCTCTTCGCTCCTGCTTGCCATGTACCACGCCAGCCACGCCTCGCTCACTCGCACGCTGTCGCAGCAAGACAGCTGGGAGTCTGAGGAGTCCCGGTAGCTCTCATCATGCCAGCTCTGCATCGCCCTCGCCGCTGCCTCCTCGTCCTCCTCCTCCCTGTCCTGCTCGTCCGTCTCTAACCCTGCCTCGTCGATCAGGCTCTCGTGCATGTGAGGAGACTTGGCCGCCTGTGCATCCTCCTTCTGCTGCTGCTGGTGCGGCTGATCTCGCTCTCCCCCCTCCAGGGTGGCTCGTCCTCTCGCCTCCAGGCTCCCCACGGCATCCGCGTGGACCTCGTAGCCCTTGCGCGTGTAGGGCCAGCGCCTGATGCCCAGCCGCCGGCTGACTTGCTTCAGCGTCGTCAGCGATATGCCCTGCGTCAAGGTCAATAGCCATGCGAGGAGAAGCAGGAGGGGGGCGGGAGGGGCTACCAGGGAGGCAGTGGCTTCTTCTTGGCGGAGGTGGAAGAGGGAGGAGACTTGGTGGAAGGAGAAGGAGACACGCAAGAGGCGAGCGGAGGGTCCTTGAGGGCGGCGGACGGTGATGGAGACAGCGGCGGTAGGCAAGGACATGGCGAGGACGCTCGGCAGGGGAGGGGGGGGTGTGGAGTATGAAGCAGGCGTAGGGGGGCGTTGGCATGACAGGGGGACGAATTGCTAGGCAATGCTGACACCTCCCCGTGATGCGATCACGTTTTGCTGTGTAGCATCACGTCAACGTTGTTTGAGGTCATGATACGGCCTAGTTTTATCTCTTTTTTTCTATCGCAGTCCTCTTGAAGACACTCCTTTTCCATCCCGCAGTCGCGGCAATCTTGTCTCAGGGGCCAGTTTGCTCCTTTGTCTCTTTTTCCCCCAGTCCCGGAGGCTCCTCGCTTTCGTCGTAGTCGTCGTCCCCTCGAGGCCTATACCGCGATCAATGTTGCTGTGTTTCAGCAGCGCCGGTTTGAGGTCACGATACTACCTAGTCATATCTCTCGGCCGAGCTTACTCCTTAGTTATGTTTTTTTTTTAGTCCTGCTGAAAGCACTCCTTTTCAGCATCCTCCCAGTCGCTGAGCACCCCTTCCTGTCTCCTGATCCTGCAGTCTCTCACTTGCTCGCAAGAACCTTCCATGCCCTCTCTCTCCCCCCCCTGCTCTCCCTTTCCCCGCCGCTTTTGCCGTAGTCGTCGTCCCCGCCCCTACCGCGTCTCCTTCACTCTCCCTCAGGTCGCCCGCCTCTTCCACCTCCGCCAAGACGACGCCGCCGCTGCCCTGGTAACCTGCCCCTAGCGATACAAACAAGAAGAGGAGGTAGCAAGTCAGAAGGGGTTGACTAGCTCACACAAAGATAGTCAAGCATGGCCTAGACACAAATACACCTGCATACATACATAGAGAGGACAAGGCTGGAGGAGAGAGGCAGTGGGGAGCAAGCGGGCGGTCAGGAGTCTCACGTCCTCGCAGGGGATCTCGCTGTCCACCCTCAAGGCCGTCTGCCGTCAGCTCGGCATCAGGCGCTGGCCCTACACCCGCCAGGGCTACCGGCCGCATGAGCACGCGCGGGAGGTGCAGCAGGCGGCACAGCTGCATCAGTCCGTCGCCTGCCAAGCCAAGAAGGAGGAGGATGCAGACGAGGATGACGAGGAGGCCGACGACGAGGAAGACGACGAGGCCGACGACGAGCAGGAGGCTACAGATCCACAGCTTGTACACAGCGCGGATCAGCGCCGCGGACACGGAGACTGGCTGAGCGAGGCGTGGGTCGCCTGGTACATCCGGTCGAGGGACGAGGACGAGGTGATCTGGAGAGGGTCGGGGGGAGGAAGACAGCTATGGCAGGAGGATGCATGAGGAGGTCGTCCTCCAGTACTGATACTGGTACTGGATCGTCTTGCAGTGGATGAGGGTTGACGGTTCTCGCTGTCTTTTCTCTTCTCGCCGTTTGGCCTGTGCGACAGTGTCAGGGTCAAGCCTCTCGACTCTCCTGATTGTCCTCGTACTGATTTTTAACTTAACTTTTAGTAAAGAACGTTCTCCAGTGACTGATGCTGGTACTGGAACTGTAGAAGGATGAGATCAAATGGTTCAAAATTACAAGTTGCGGCAAAGAGACTGATCAGCAAACTGAAAGAAGATTGTCCTGATGCCGAGCTGACGGTACTGAGACGGCCGCTTGAGGGTGGACAGCGAGATTACTTGCGAGGACGTGAGACTCCTGACCGCCCGCTTGCTCCTCACTGCGCATCCTATCCTGCTTTGCCTTCACTTTGTTTGGCCTTGTGACGCTTCTTCGTTTCTCTTGCTACTGCTCTTTGTTATGCTGTTTCAATGTGGAGCCTCTTGCTCCTATCGCGCGACATGAAGGGAAAAAACTCTCATTTATTGACTGAAAAGCAAAAGGCAAACCGAGAACGAGGACTAGCCCGACAAACCCGCCTCAACATAATAGTAGCAAACGGAAGAAGGCAGCGAAAACCGCTACTCCAACCCAAGCAGGGGAACAAGCGAAAAACGTCACTAAGTTTTATATTGACCCTTGCAGATTCTTGATGTCCACCCTACCCCTGTCTTCGAATCACTGGAGATCCAAAATTCATGACCCTACCATGCATTAATAGCCTAAAAAGACCATAATTATACCCCTCCCTCGATAGACAGAGATACCCCCCACCCACCCTGAATCGATGATAACCAACCCTTGTTTGGAGGACTGCTCCACTACCCCGGATAAATACCACCCCTTCTAGACTGAAAGTACCGGGTACTTTAACTGTGACTTTCGGGGTAGTCAGAGCAGCCCCCGGGGCGATAACCCCTCCAGCAATCTTGAGGGGATGCAATGAGGATTCAGCAAGAGCAAAGACAGCATGCGCCGGCAAGAACAGGCGCAGAAGATGGAGGAGGGTGTAGGAAGGTGGAGGAGGAGCAGGATGAGCAGGAGCAGAAGTTAGCTTGACGAGTGAAGGAGGATAGGACGCTAGTGAAGGAGGATAGGACGCTGGTTGACATCCGCGGGAAGTAAGATGGCATACGGTGACAGATTCGATGAATGGAATGAGGGACGCGTCTGATGTTGCTGTAAGGAAGAAAGGTACACAACACGAGTGGAAGTAGTGTAAGAACAGAAAATGTTTGGGGACAGCATGGATCAATGGGGTAGTGGATATTTTTGAACTCCGATAGCTCCGATCAGCAGTTCGAAAGTTTCCGATTGACCGCTGTACTCAAACTCTTCGTCCCGAAGACCTCCTCGCCCTCCTCGCTCTCCTCGCCCTCCTCGCTCTCCTCGCCCTCCTCGCTCTCCTCGCCCTCCTCGCCCTCCTCGCCCTCCTCGCTCTCCTCGCTCTCCTCGCCCTCCTCGCTCTCTCATTCAGCCTCGTTTTCCACTTCTTCCTCTCGCCCCCTCCTCGAGCACGTCTTCCTTGCAACACGCATCGCTTTCCTTGTCCACCTCATAACCTTCTTCCTTCCTCAAGATGTTGCTTTTATCCGTAAGCTTGAGGAGGTCAGAAGTAGATTAAAGAAGTAGTTTATCATCAAGAGGTCAGATGTAGATTGCTTTTTCAGCGAGCACACGCCCGAGTGCTGTGTAACATCTATCATGCGTCGAGACCTTGCGCTGACTTGCTGCTTCTTGCCAGATCGTGTCAGGATCATGCCTCTCAACCATGGTAGCTGATTGGTGCAAGCTGTGTTGACAGCATCAAGTACGACTTAGCTCAACTGCGATTGTACTTCAAGGATACTTTTCATGTGGCCTTATCCAAAACATCTCGGATCTTGCAGTGGATTTCCCCGATAACTTTAGAAACTACATAGCTCGTTTGTCTCATATCCGTCAATCATGCAGAGCGACGAGATTTTCCAGTCTCCCAAGGTTCAGCCGCGCTCGTCGTACAGGATGGTGGCTGAAAAGCAGAAGATGCTACAGTTCAATTACTACCGAGCAGTTTGGTGCTACTGCCTGTTTCTGGTCTTTCTGTTCTCGATCATCATCTATGCTGTTGACAAGCTGCCGTACATTGACTGTCTCTTCCTCTCAGTCTCAGCATACACAAGCTCAGGGTTGTCGACAGTTGGGTCCCAGCACATCTCAAGTGCCACCTTTGCTATGCTCTACATCCTGATGAACCTTGGAGGGATTGTTTTTCTCCTCCTGCCCCCCATGATCTACAGGATCCATGCTTTCCACAGCCTCGAGCCGAGCTTGATGGAGTTTCTGGCAACCAACGAGTCCAACGACAAGCCGGAGGCGCAGAAGCTGATCCACCTGATCAGCGAGCGTCGTGCTCAGATCAGAGGAGTACGAATGGTTGCGCTGGTCATTATCTTCTACCTCTTCGTCTTCCTCTTCGGAGGCATCTGGATCTTCCTATGGATCATCAGCGCGTTCCCTCGGCTCGAGGAGCTCCGGCAGCGAGGCTTCAGCAACATCTGGTACGCTGCCTTCATGGTCTCTAGCGCCTTCTGCAACTGCGGCCTCTCCCTGACCTCTGACTCCGTTCACGGGCTTCGCAACTGGCCTCTCTCCTACCTGTGGCTGGCGTTTCTGATCCTTGCTGGAAACAACCTGTTCCCTGTTATGCTCAGAGGTCTGCTGAGGCTTTTCCACAAGTTTGCGAACAGGCTCTACCTGGACAGGAACGCGATAGCTTACGCGCTTGACCATCCTCGTCAGGTATGAGCAGAAGAGGACGGTACAAGTCGTCGTTGCGTTGCTGGGTTGTGGGTTTGTGCTGTTATGTGACTTGCTCCTTTAGATGACGACACACCTGCTGGACAAGACGCAGACCCGGGTGCTGATCCTGATCCTCCTCGGCATCAACATCATCCAGTACGCTGCTTTCCTCTCCTCCTCGCTCCCCCGGAAGGATCTTGACGCCTCCTATGGCACGCACGTCATCGCTGGAGCAGGCTTCTTTCAGACCATCTCCACGAGATCGGCAGGTCTGCAGATCTACGACCTCAACAACCTGAACCAGGGCATGCCCGCCATGTATATCTTTCTCATGTACCTCTCCGCTGCGCCCTTCGTCAGCAGGATGTACATCTCAGAGCAGACCCTGGACGAGGACGGACACTGGAAGCCGACGCTGCGCACAGTCGACGATGCCAAGAGGAGGTTCCATGCGATGTACCTGTTCAGGCACCTCTCCTTTCTGGTCTCAGGCTTCCTCATCCTCTGCTTCATCCATGATAAGGGTGTCGCGCTGGAAGGCGCCGTCCTCTCGCCTTTCCCCCTCCTCTTCGAGCTCATCTCAGCCTACGGAAACGTCGGGCTCTCGTTTGGAATTGCAGGCAGGACGTACAGCCTGTCTGGAGCCATGTCGACGCTGGGAAAGCTCATCATCATGGGGGCGATGCTGCTGGGCAAGCACAGGGCGCTCCCTACCCACACTGACATGGTCCTCAACTTCAAGCACACGAGGCTCCGACGTCAGCTGATCATCGCGAAGATGGAGGCTGGGGAGGATGTTGTGGACCTCCTTCCCCTCTACAGCGCCCACCCGATAGCAGACGGGCCGGATGAGGTGAGGGCGGAGAGTATCGACCTGCCCCGCCAGGAGGAGCTGGGAGTGCTCTCGCGCTTCAGCTTCAGCCGTTTCTCCTCTCCTACCGCCTTCAGCAAGCGGAGGATGCCGAGTGAAGGGGAGGAGGGAGGAGAGGAGGGGATCGAGGGGAGGGACACAGAGAGCTTTGAGATGGAGCGAAACCTCTGGCTGGCCGCCCAGGAGGAGAGGAGCAGCAGCGGCGACGAGCAGCCTCCTATCCCGAGGAAGGATGGGATCAAGAGCCTTGACTATCCCCGGCATGCCGGCATGGCCCCCCGTCGCACCATGTCGAGCAGTCTAGACACCCTGGAGGAGCAGGAGGGAGACGTAGAAATGCCCCTCTCCCCAGTCTCGAGACCCCTACAGGGCATGCAGACTCCAGCGCGGCTCCAGCAGGAGGAGCCGGTCAAGCTAGAGGACGTGGCGCAGCAGTGGGTTTCTGACCCGTCCATACACTCGGCAGGAGAGGCAGCTGGGGAGAGAACTTTGCGGGTGCGACGCGCCAAGTCCTCCGATCTGGACTCTTCTTCGCACTTCCACATGGAGGAGGACGTTGGCAGGGGCAGGAGCGCGAGCAGGGGCAGGGGCCGAGGGCTGTTGGCCCTGGTTGGCCTTGCATGGAACTCGATCTGGGATCCCTCGAGCACGCGGGAGGAAACTGGCAAGCAGATCCAGGCGCATGAGCTTGTTGAGACGGACCAGTTCTTCAGTCGAGTCTTCCACTACTTCGACGAGGAGGAGGGAAGGCAGGGGGTCACCCGCCGTGCTGCTTCTCTCGACGTCCCCGTCCGCGCCAGGTCCTCCCTTGAAATCCTCCGCCGCACCCTCCGAAGTGATGCCCAGCAAAATGGTAAGCAGAACCCGGGCAAGCCGCCGCAGGAGCCTCGGACCCCCTGAGCTATTTGACTTCCCCTCCACTACCCTCCTCCTCTCGTTCCTCCCCTCCTCCACGTTCCTTCTCCTTCCCTTGTCGTTTCTGCCTTTCCTCCCCTCCTCTCCCTCCCTCCCTCCCTCCCTCCCTCCCTCCCTCCCTCCCTCCCTCCCTCCCTCCCTCCCTCAAGGATTTTCACCCAGCCAACTATCTCGTCCCTACCTACTTTCATCTCCCCTTACAGCAGAGAGGAGGAGAATTCCAACGCTCCCTCTCCTCCTCCCGATCCGATTTGAATCTTCTGTGACGTATTTTTCTTGACATGAAAGAGGTTCGAGCAATCTCATCCGGTAAGTTGTCATATGGTAGGACTGGCGTCCTGCTACCTAAAACTCCCACCCCATGTCTCCTCATCCGAACAAAAGCCTCGACCCTGTTCTTGCCCGGGAAAGCATCGATTGAGCATGCTGCATTTCCTCCTGCGAACTCTGAGGTCAAGCCTCTTCGCTTTCACAGACCTTCCACCTCCCATATTGCCCACATCATCTTGATCATCATCATCATCATCATCATCATCATCATCATCGCCACCACCAAGATCTCCATCTCCATCTCCATCTCCATCTCCATCAATAGCAGCAGAAGCAGCAGCAGCAGCACAAGAAGAAGAAGAAGAAGAAGAAGAAGAAGAAAAAGCCTCCCTCACTTTCTTCCTACCTGACTAGGAGCCTTGCCCATCGAGGCATCACGGAGCCGTTCGAATAAGGACTCGGCGACACTGAGATGCTGGAAGGAGATCACTTGCGAGGAGAGCGGGAGGAAACGGAGAGTAGAGAAGCGATGAGAGGAGGAAGACGGAGGCAAGGACGTGTACAAAGAAAAGGAGTAGAGGAAGGGGAAAGAGGAGCAGGGATAGGAAGAGGAGGACATAGAGATGGAGGGGGGGCTCAACATATAGGGAGAAGGGGAGGAGAAAAAGAGGAGAAGAGAAGAAGAAGAGAAGAAGAAGAGAAGAAGAGGAGGAGAGAAGAGGAGGAGAGGAAAACCTGTGAGGGAGGAAGCGCTACAGACGGTACAGAGGATGTAGCATGATCGCCGTGTGACTTCCAGGCCTCCTGCAGGAGGATGAGAAGAGAAAATATGTGAGGCAAATTCATGAGAGCAATCACTACATCCAAAGCTTGATACCTCCTCATAGCTTTCCTCTCTTCAGCTCCTCTCCATTCTCTTCCCCTTCCCTGTCTTCCCCAACCCTTCCCTTCCATTCCCCTTTCGTTTCGTTTCTTTCCCTTCCTTCCACTCCATTCCCTACTCTGCTCTGCTCTTCCCCTACACCTCAGCCACCTGCTCCTTCACCCTATTTCTTCCTCTTGTCCATCCTTCCCACCCCGCTCGCATTCCCTCCCCTCTTCTCCATCGCTCTCCCACTCTCCTGCTTCTTCGTTCCTATCCTTGTATTGTCTTACCTCCCTGATCTGCTTTGCAGCAAACGTTTTCATATCCTGAATGACGGAAAATTCCAAAGCAGGTACACCAAGAGCCTGATTTTATGTAAGCAAGCTGGTGAGAGCTTTGAAGACAAATGAATGGCAGGCACAGGAACAAGGGGGAGGAAGGAGGGGGAAGAGGGAGGAGGGAGAGAGGTTGGGAAGGAGGGAAGGAGGGAGGAGGGAAGAACCAATGGATCTTGGATCTTGATCAGGAGAGGAGGGAGGGTGTGAGGACGGGGAGGCAGGTTCGAAGCAGAAGGAGGAAGTGAAAAAGACAAGAAGAAAGGGAGAGATGACTGCTGAGTTTCATCGCTTACAAGAGCCGATGATCTCATCTTGGAGCTTTCGGAAAGGAAAATGACTGGCGATGCTCTTGCTGCCTGCTCTGTAGAGAAGTAGAACTTGCTGAGAGCTTGTCTGTCCGTGCGATCAGGTCAGTCCTTGTCGTATACTTGCCACACACAAATCAAGAAATTCCACATCAGAGAACGCCCATATCATACTCTTACACGATTCATACCATATCTCCTCTCCTCTCCTCTCCTCTCCTCTCCTCTCCTCTCCTCTCCTCTCCTCTCCTCTCCTCTCCTCTCCTCTCCTTTCCTCTCCTCTCCTCTCCTCTCCTCCTCTCCTCTCCTCTCATCATACCTGCAAGATGTGTTCATAGTGTCCAAAGATTCCAAAATCGTGGCCTTCAAACGTAAGGTCAACACATGAAGTTTATGCACGATTCGCTCCTCACAATGGAGGGAGAAGACTTCCAGTGCGACACGTTCGACATCTCCTGCAGCAGTGTAAGGAGTTCAGGAGCACAACCCGAAAATTCTCTCCACCTCAAACTGCTTTTGGGTTGAATGAAAGTTGCTGTCAGTCTCTAGCAAGAGAATCTTGCTTGCATCGTGAGCCTGGAGAGATGTCAGGAACCAAGATGAGGCAGAAATCATGACACGGCATGTTATGTCATGATCCATCTTGTGTGGTGAGAATGAGATGATGAGATCATATGATGAGATGAGATCAGATGAGATCAGATGTCATTTCATGTAGCATGGCAAATATGTGAACATAACATGACACGATATTACGTTCACACAACAGCACAGGTGATGACTTGAATGATCTTTCGAATGAACTCAATCAATCTTTTCACCTTGTTCAAACAAGTTCCAAGAAGGTGCAAGATGGCAACTCGGTCCGATTGTGTCGTGGAGTGACTCTCCACCAAGTGCCACAGGGATCGGTAGACCGATCCGATCATCACAATCATCACCGGCGGCACGTGATCCTGCCCTCCTTGCAAGAAGTGGATGTTGAGGTCAGGTGGCTTGCCGTACTCGCCTGCACGACCCGCTCGTCACTTAGACAGACTGCGCAAGTGATGTCACTCGGGCTCACCTTGCATCATACGCAAGAAGGAAGTCGTGTCTGGCACGATGAGAAGGGGAACATCAGCCGGGGTTCTTGTCTTGTGCAGCCTCTTCAAGCAAAGCTCGAAGAAGAAAGTATCGAGAAGGTCTATAGACATGAACTGCCGAGGTTTGGCGTGGTAACCCCAGTCAATGTCTGCCATGTCTGCCGGGTTGTCATCACCAACCCACAAGTAAATGGAGATTTCACCGTCTCGCTTCTCGTTCTGAGGGTCGAGGGTCGCAGAGCTGACCATGCGCATGTCTATCTTGTTGTATCCGATCTGCATCTTTGCGTTGAGGGCAGAGGGAGGAGCGCCCTTGGACTGCGAGGAGAACTTTGCGTTGTATCTGCACAGCTTCTCTGCGAGAACGTTGGCCCCCGACGAAGAGATGCAGTTGTAGGAGAGCCTCAGCGTGATGGAGGGAGCAGGGACTTGAGAGGTCTTCGACTTGTCCGCAAGGAACTGCTTGATCGCGTCGGACCCAGTACGCAGGTTGGAGTCCATGAGCTGCGAGATGTGGAGGCATCCGACGTCGGAGACGAAGTTGAAGGCGAAGTCAAGGGATCGCAGCCAGACGTTGGGCCTCGGGCGCTTGAGGATCTCGCCGAGCCCTTGGCAGACAGTCATCACGGCGAGATCTCCGAGGTTGTTCTCTTCAAACGAAACGTCCACAAAGATGATGAAGTCCTTGGATGGGTCCAACTGCATGATTCTTCTCTCCATCATGGAGACAAAGATCGGCCAGATCTCCACGACGTCAGAGTCGTTGAGGGGCCAGGCAAGGTTGCAGCTGACGAGCTTGTACTTGTTCAGCTCAACACGACACTCGAACATCCTGCCTTCGTGGTTCCAGCGCATGCAGGCGTCTGGCAACTTCTTCAGATCTTCAGAGCGAGCCATCTTTCTTTGTTGCTCGACTGTCACACCAGCATTGTTTGGCTCCCACGACAACGAGCTCTGCTCCACCTGCCCTCTTGCGGCAAGGTTGTCCTCTACTTCAGAAAGTGACATTGCAGAAGAGGGAAAGGCTGGAAGAGAAGAGTGGAGAGAGCCGTTGAGGTTGTTGGGGAAAGCATGAGAGAAGGAAACATTAGAACTTTCGTGCCCGTTGCCCTGATGGCTCGACATTTCCTGCATGATTTGCTGCAGATTTCGGTTGAGAGAGTCCTGTGGGCCTGCCAACGCGTAAGTGCCGCGTCAGAAACAGCTGCCGAGCAAAACAACAAGCAAAGAGAGAAACGAGGCAAACATACAAACAGAGGCTAGTATCAAGAAATGTAGAGAAGATTGAGGTTGCCAGGTATGCAAGAAATACACAGAGAGAATGGACATTCTCACCTTGCGTGAACGCGTGAGGTTTGACAAGCTCGTTGAAGGTGGATGGTTGCGACTTCCACGAAAGATCCATGAGCTGGGAAGATAAGGAGGACATAGAGGGGTCCTTCAACTGCTCATCCTCATACGTCCTTGCGTGGTCAGGCTGCAGAGGCTCGAGGTCTACATACTTTGTATCCGAGAGAGAGGGAGATAGCCATTCTTTGCCGACAGGCACGAGTTCTTTTCCGAGGGCTAGAGAGCTCTTGCTGTCATGATTGAAGCTTGGAAGGGACGAGAAATCGTTGCTGCCCTCGAAGTCGTTGAGGTTGGGTGGGAGAAGATGGTTGTTGTATGGTCGGTTAGTCGAAGCAAGCTCGCTGAAGGAAGACGGCGCGGGCTGACTTGAAATCGAGTCCTTGATCGGATACAGAAAGTTCTGCTGCTCCGGCGAAGGTTGTGGTTGCACATGCAACGGTTGAAGGCTATGGGTCGTATCATCTGGTTGCACGCGTAACGGTTGAATAGCGTGGGCCGCATGGTCAGGAGGCTGGGAGTTCTGCTTCGACATGAATGGCTTGTACAGAGTTGACTGATTCGGAGGAATGCTGCTTGACTGAGGATGCTGGGGAAAATCCCTACTGTCACCCGGCGCTTGAGGATGGGGACGGAGTGGAAGGGGAGGACTGGGCAAGATCGAGGACTGACTTGAGCCGCCATCTCCATTGACTTCTTTGGCAACTTGAACAAGGATTGTCAGTCAGACACCAGAGCTCAAGACGTGCGTCTACCATCTTGCAAGTTGGGCCATCGGTGGTTGTTGACGGGGTTAGAGAGGATCTGAGTTTTTGTTCCATTCGACAAACCATCGTTGGGAGGAGGCTTCAGGTGGTTCGGCGCATCTTTCTCCGCCTGCTGCTCTCGAGCATGACCACGGTTCTGCTGGGGCTGATCAGGACGAAGGAATCGGAGTGTTTCTGCTGAAGCAAACACCTGTTCCATGGCAGCAGAATCCTTAACACTCTTCGAGCTTTCTTTGGTTCGTGAATCAATCAGTGCACTGCGCAACCATGTCAATCGTAGGCCATGACAAGCAATCAAACGCTCACTGTGAAGGGGAAGAAACTTGCGGTGGAGCGTTGACGTTGGCAGGAGATGAAGCTACATTGTAGTCAGCCTACACCAAACAAGCAAGAGCAGGCAGAGATGACGCAAGCTACCAGCTGCTCGAGCACCAGGGAGTGCAGGAAATTCATCGGCTTGAAACGTCTGCAATCAGTCCAATAAGAACGAGAGCTGAAGCTAGATTGACGGGGTACTTTAACATTGGTGTCGTTGTAGTTCTCCCTTGCAGGAACACCGTAGCCTTTCTGAGAGGACAGCTGAAAAGCAACGTCAACAAGGATGCGATACACAACAAAACAAGACGCACTTGAGAAGGAGGGGAGCTTTGGCTCGCGGGCCTTCTATTCAAAAGTGAAACGTTTGACCGCGCTCGTTCAACTTTGGCCTGGAAAGAAAAGGAAAGGGCATTAGGAACGATTATCAGGAACCAACTACCAATGATGAATGTACCCGATCTTGATTGTCGAACAAGTGCAAGTGCAAGGCAGGAATGTTCGCCTTGAGATAGAGTCACGAAAAATCCACCCATCTCAGCCGGTCCTTACTTGGCAGCATTGGCTCACGCCACAGTTTCCGTCATGAACCGCTCGTTGTAGCCCTGAAAACCTCCATTTCACATGCAACGCACAAGAAAAACCTTGGCACACCTCGAGTCCGATCTCCTCGATTCTCAGCTCTGCAGTATCGTGGCATTCTACAGCACATATACGATCAGTGGTTCATGTGGAAAAGAGTTCAAGTTCGAGAGCAAACATGGGCTACCTTGATCCTATCTTTGAAATATCAATCGCATTGTGCTCCAACCTCAACCACAGGGGAACCAGCCCACCGTAGAGACTTCTCGGATAACCAGTCGCAGCCTTCATCACAAATTAAAACAAACATGGCTGTGGAACTGAGTACCTCGAAAAGAGAAAATGCCCCGGCAGCAGTGATGTTGTTGTGAGACAAGTGAACCTGGGCAAGTATGAGATGCAGGTCAATGAGCATGTTCCATCAACTCACCTCCGCAACCCAAAACCTTTCTTGTCCAGGGAGGGTGGACTTCGCTACCAACTCTGCAACACTTCATGTTGGAGTCAGTACATTCCTATAAGTTTAGCAAGGATCATCAACCTCTTGGCACCCTCGTCACCGAGCTCATTTTTCCAGAAGAATATCGCTCTGACTGCGGCAAGGTTGCTGCACCTGTGTCACGCGGCTGAAGCCCACTGAAAGTACATACCTCTGCCGCAGCTTGATGAGCATGCCGCAGATTGCAGCAGCACCCTTATCTCGGCACTCGTTGCATTCTCCATGAAACTCAACGTGAGCAATCTTGTTGCTCCGTGCCAACGCCACGCAAAAATCCTTCACGGCTGTAAAGATGTGGGGGGCAAGCGCAACAAAATCCTCGTCCTTCAAGGGAGCATCGCGCTTTCTTCCATCGAGGGAGATAATAAGATTTTCCCCCCGATCGTCTTTCTTGCGGACTGACTCTTTAGCTATCTGTTGCAATCGTGCTGACATTCTTGACTCGTCTTTTCTGGAACGTTTGTTCACTCCCTGCTAATCAGCGCAACTCCTTCAATGGCGAATGGATCCCATGAAGTGCGTCGAATCTCTCAGGGAGCCGAAACTATGAAGAGAGAGACAGAAGATGAGTCCCGCCTGTACAAGAGAGATCAGATCCTTCGCCAACTCCTCTGGGAACTCATCTTATCCGGTTACTCTCAATTATGAAAGGGCAAATGCAACGCCACACGACTGAAGAATCATGCATGTGTATGCGTACTCCGGCATAGAAACAAAGACAACGGCAATCAATTCACGATCCTGCTCAAACAAGCAAAACACCAAATGGAACAAAGCTGCATTCCTCGGAAAATGAAGAATGGTCGCAACAAGAAGAATCTAGTGTCAGGGAATGGGAAACCTTCTTCATGGAGCAACCTCGGAGTGTATTGAGTCACTGAGCCCTCTACTATGCACCAACTTGCATCTCGCGAGTTTTATACAGCCGTCAACATCGTTTTGATCTCCCATTCGCTCTTTGGCCCCACCAAACTTGATTTTCTCATTTCAACTCCCTTCAATCGCGCACACTCGCTTCTCCCTCCTGCCATAGATCCACCATTCCTGTATATCTCTAATCCTTCATCTCTCTCCTCTGCCGCGTTTCGTCCTCTTCCCTCCTCTTGCTTCACGCAACTCCCTCCTCCTCCTCCTCCTCCTCCCTAATCTTCTCGCCCCCCTCCCACGCCATGAAGGCAGGGAGATCTTTCAGGGGTGGTCATTCAGGGGGGTGATAGCTGATTAGTGGGTAGGGGTCATATTAAATCGTTCAAGTACGGGTATCTTTATCATAAAAGTTTGGGGTGATAACCCAACTACCCGGGTCATGATCAAGTGCTGGACTGGGGTGATTTGATAGGGAGCCAGGGGGTGGTTGTAACAAGTGGAGAAGGTGCTGCAATATGAGGGGTACGAACTAGCGTCGAGACCATGGGGTACCTTGAAACAATGGAAGTAAAAGAGGGGGTCATATTCTAGTATTTAGTAGGGGTATATTTCACATTTCAGGGGGTAGTCGACTACAGGTGGTGATGCACACACCTGTAGTAGAAAAGGACATTACAGGGGGTGGGTGATGCGATTTCGAGCCATAGAATGGATTTCGTACTAATTTTTCAATATGTCCTGGAATCAGTAGGGAATGTTGACTAGTCTCCTCACCAAAAATGAGAAATGCTTTCCAGATATGTATTTTGTGGAGAAGTATTGGAATCTTGCTCAATAATTTTATGAGTTATTGTGAAATTAGGATTCATCATCAAGAAACTCTTGACTATGGCCTCGCAATTCAATTCATCTACAACTGATATAAATTCTGAAATATATGGTACTGTCAATGCAACTAAAAAACACTTTTTGCAGAATATTCATATGGAACAATTTATGACTTGAAATTTCTGCTTCAACATTTCAAATTATTGACAGCCCCACTCATACATTCGTCAAGAGTCACTCAGTCGGCCTGGGCGCCGGCCAGGGCGCCGGCCGGCCCGGGAGGACTATGAGGTATATGATCCTACTTCGTTCCGGCAATGCGGCTGCTCGTTTTGGCTGCGCTGACCACAATGGTAAGGGGAAGCAAGAAGGGCAGCAGCACGAGGAGGAGGAGGAGGACAAGCAGGACGAGCAGGAGCAGGAGAAGGAGAAGGAGAAGGAGCAGGAGCAGGAGCAGGAGCAGGAGCAGGAGCAGGAGGAACACGTGGACTTGGGGTTCAATGACTAGAGCGATGGTGGTGACGAGTGGAGCGCAAGTGCAGAGGAAAGGCAAATCAGAATGTACATAGTGAAAGTTTTGTTGATAGCAATGGTCTACCAAGCCTGGAGTAATGGAGCGGGTCTTGTTTGTTATCATAACCTGGGATGTACAACAGGTTGGGGGGAGCTTGCAGAAGAATGGTGGACTGCGATCAGGCTCGCTGCCGCAGGCATTTGTCACCCTTTGCCCTCCTCTCAGAGCAAGGAGAGCCCTTCCTGTGGCTCTGAAGCCAGGGTTGCCCTTGTGCACAAGGGGAGGGGATAATGCCAGGTGCAAGCTGAGGATGGCTGACCAGAATGGAGATCTCACGGAGGAGGAGCGGGAGTTCATGGCAGGGGTCATGAAGATACTAGAAGAGGACGATGACGAGGACGAGGACGAGGACACTCTGCGGAGGTCGGCTCCATGGGACAACCTCCCCCAGAGAGGAAGCGAGGGGTCGACAGGGCACGGATACACGGCAGTCCTGATTGTGCCGACAGGAGTAGGTCAGTCGTCACTAGGTGAGCTGTGCCGGGCTGACGAGTTCATGCTTGTATGCAGGCGCATCGATCGGTGGGTATGCGGGAGACGCGCTTCCTGTTGCGAAGACTATGGCATCTGTCGTAGACACCTTGATTACCCATCCTAACGTCATGAACGGAGCCTCGCTGTACTGGCCGCTGAGCAACATGCTCTACACTGAAGGTTACCTGTTGGACAACTTTGCGAGAGGGAAGATCGGTCTGCTTCCTGTGACAACAGGTTCGGACTTGTGCTTGCTCGTCCTGTGTTGGTGAGCTGAGGAGATGGAGCAGGAGGTCACAGGATCGGCCTTCTGCTTGACAAGGAAATGACCAAGGAAATGATTGAAAGGCACCTGCAGGCTGCTGATGCGGCGAGAGCTACCCTGGTGAGGATGGAGGGGAGATGGAAGCTAGATGTGTTGCAGAAGGCAGGAGGAAGTGGACGCAAGAGGAAGAGGGAGGACAAGGACAAGGACAAGGACAAGGACAAGGACAAGGACAAGGACAAGGACAAGGACAAGGACAAGGAGGGAGGAAGAGGACAAGGACAAGGACAAGGAGGGAGGAGGAGGAGGAGGAGGAGGAGAAGGAAAGCTTAGAGAGGAGGAGGAGGAGGAAAGCTTAGAGAGGAGAAGGAGGGAATCGAGGGGGGAGGGGGCGGTTAGCAGAGAACTTTGTCTCATCTTGACTTGCAATGAAGGGGATCAACGTGTGCAATTACCTTGTAACCGACGAAGAGGTTGGCGTTACAGTCGCAATGACCTCGACTGGTTGGTTTTGTGCTTGCATGTAGTTGATTGTGTTGCGATGAAGTTTGTGGCAGGCGCGTCGAGAGGAGACTTGAACAATCTCGGGACGCTTATAAGAGGCGAGAGCTGAGAAACAATTTTGATGTTGGACTCTATCTGATGGGGGCTCTTGTTACAGGTGCCGAACGGCTCGTGAAAGAGTGCAAATGCACAGCAATCGCTGTAGTTTGTAAATTTCCCGAAGATGAAAGTGATCAGGTGCTGTTGGGAGGGGATGGAATACTTTGCATCTTGACAACTTGTGTTTGCTACAGGAGATCACTCAGACGACGTCATACCGTCAGGTTGTACGTTTGTTTGATACTCCCATGTGTACGACGACGGTGGCTGAATGAAGCGAGTCAACTGCGATGTTGCTGCCTGCCATGCGTGAGATGTTGTGATGAAGAAATGCTGACAGTATGAAACAAGGGGGATGGAGTTGACCCTGTTGGTGGGATGGAAGCGATTATCAGCCACGCTATTACATCAAAGGTTGCTTCCATTTTCTGATGGAGATGAATGTGTCATGTGTTGCTCTTAGCACTACTCCTTTGGATTACTTTGAATTGTTGTTTACCCTCTCTCCTCCTCCCTCTTTCATTTTTCTCCTCCCTGAAACTCCTCCTTCTATCTCCTCTTCTTCGTTCCCAACCTCCTCCATCCATTTGTTTCCTTGCCATCGCCCTCAACTGCCGTTGACCTCGACCATTTCCTAGCCTGTTGTCAAGAACGGTTCTCATCATTGATGTTCATCTCTCAGCTTGGAGTTCCCTGTGCTCATGCTCCTGCAAACGAGATTGAAGTCGAGATCGGATATTCCGTATCCCCCAAGGTGATGATTGAAAAGATAGTTGGACAGGATTGCTCGACTTTTTCGCAAAGACCTTCCCTCTCAATCTCTTAGGGGCACATTGTTAATCTGGTGTATGCTGCCATTTTCGAGCCAAAAGTCTTGCAGATGCGCTGTTTTTCCATGTCGACATGACAAGTTCTTTGTTGGGAAGATTGAAATGCATTTCCCCCCATCGTTCATTTTTGACGGCTGTTGCGTGTATGAGATTGTGGTTGCTTGCGAGAGGAAAATTTGTTCAAATGGGCATCCACGTTTGTGACTTTCTTGGTTGAAAGGTTGCAGCAGAAGAAATCGGTTTCACTTTTCTTCCGTGTGTCCTTGCATACCTTCATCGTGCCCCAGTCGTTGTCCCCCCTGAGGTAAGGAGAGGATTAAAATCTAGAGCCTGCACGAGATAGGGGGAGGAGGGAGAAAGGAGAGCAGAGGGAGGAGAGGGAAGGGAGAGGGAGAGGGAGAGGAGAGAAGGGGGAGGAGAGGGACGGGAGGGAAAGACAGTTTAGAGGACAAACATAAAGCAGAGAAGAATGAGAAACGAAAGGATAGGAGGAAAGGAGCTAGCGACGTATACGAGTGAGACGTGTGTTGATTAGAAAGGAAACGCATCTCACGGTATCACGCAAGATCAAAAGATGTTCACTACCAAAAAGATTGAAGAGCCCTGCCATACCAAACAATCTCGACATCCATGTATCTTCGTAGACCACGAAGAATTCAATGCGATTCGTCACATTAACACAACCATCACTTCAGCAAAACTCTCACACCAACACAGAGATACCACAACTCCACCAATGCAATGAAAGCGATTTTTGCTCTGCCCTCTTTGATTGATGTTCTCGTTACAGGACCCCCGCGCCAATCGAGCAATTTGGGCAAGAGACGTAGACGCTGTGATTATACCTGCCAATGCTGCCGGAGGCCTTGGGACGATCTCCCTGGGACTGCAAACAAAGTCAATAAGTTTTCCTTCCCCTCCCTCCCTCCCTCCCGCTATTTGTGCATCCCGCCATCCTGCCATCTCGCCCTCCCTTCCTCCCTCCTTGCTTCTTGCTCCTCCACTGCCCTCTTGTGCCTCAAACGGAAAGGTTCACCAGCGCTCTGACACACGTTTGCTTCCTCCACAGTGCGCTTGTCATCGCTGTTGAAGACAACAAGACCAAGATGCAAGCCGAGCCTGAGGACCTTGCTTTGGACTGTGTGCGAGTGAGCAGGTAAAAGGAAGTTTTGCGCTCCCAGCGTGCTCAAGTCATGGCATCAGCTACCTTGAAGCCATCGGAATGCTCGCCGCTCATCGCGCAGGTAGGGACTTGAGGGGTTGAACAAGTTCAAACCCGTGTGGGAAGAATAGGGAGCAGCAGCAGCAGCAGCAGCAGCAGTAGCAGGCAGCAGAATGCAAGACGAAAGAGCAGAAGCAGAAGGTAGCAGAGGAAGAAGAGATGGTGGCAGTGAAAGATGAGGCGGGGAAAGAAGCGAGGAAGTACCAGCACCAGCACCAGCACCAGCACCAGCACCAGCACCAGCACCAGCAACAGTACCAGCACCAGCACCAGCACCAGCACCAAGCTGTTTCCAAGTACTAACACACGTACACTAGGCGTCAACCCGGTGTCGCTGACTTCCAACGTTCCTTCTATCGCCAAGCTTGAATGAAACCTGCTTGCACGAGAATATCAGAGAGAATGGCGAGATCTCAATGGGTATTTCTCGACTTGGATACGTGCAACGAGGCGAGAGGAGAGGAGAAGAGAAGAGAAGAGACGAGACGAGGCGAGACGAGAAGAGAAGAGAAGACAGGAGGGGGTGACGAGATGGGATGCAATTCGATGACAACGAGAAAATGCACTCCTCGGAGTCTAGAAGAAACAAGACGGGGAGGAGGGGAAACTTGGCCAGGCGACGATGTAGTGAGAGGAGAGGAGAAGTTATGCGAGAGAGAAAAGGAGACGAAGAAACGATCAGAGGAGAGGAGAGGAGAGCAGAGCAGAGCAGAGGAGAGGAGAGGAGAGGAGAGGAGAGGAGACTGGAGAATAGGGGGATTGCTCATAAACGCGATATTTATACAAACAGTTCTCGTGATGATTATGAAAACAATGATTAACATCCCAACAAGGAACGGCTATTCTACAACAAGAAGCAATTATTTTACACTCTACACGCTTTGTGGCGAGGTTGAAAACATTTCTACAATCACAACCTGAATGACAACTTCTCTCTATGCCGACTCACGAAGTTCCCACCTTGGTCGATAGAAGGGGAAGAAATGGTTTCCCCGACCAGCATCACTATCCCATATCCTCTCCCCTGGATGAAATACCCTGACCTGTCGATTGCATGCTTGGCTGCGTCTGACTCCATTTCTGCTGACGAGTCAGCGTCCTCTCCTAGCACTGCTGGCTCTGATCTTGACCTCCTCCTGCCTCCTGTATCCCATCTTGCGCTTGCGGTGATCGGCATGCAACCAGAAGAGGATGAGGACGATCCCATATCATTGCCATGATGATCGTCTACACAAGATAGCGAGCAGTGTCTTGGGAAGGATGATCTTCCTCCTTTGCTGAGCATGACAGCAAAGAACGCGGCGACCGCGGTCGGAACATGAGTATCGACGCCTTCCAGAAGAGACGAGGTGGACGTGGAGAACGAGAAAGAAGAGGAGAAAGATAGGACGGAGGAAGGAGATTCGATGCTATCTTCCGTCGACCCTTGCGATGTGCAGGAAGAGGAGCGGAGGAGAGGAGCGCGGAAGTACGGAGGAGCGCGCATGGGGTGGAACAACTCAAGAAGCTGTACAGTCGCATGACGTCAGCAATGAAAACTAGCTTGTTGGCTGGGTTTAGTGATTCAGAATGTTCCGTGGATCATTACGGAATGAACTCACTGATAATCGTGGATTTGGTGGGTGGGGTTATTTGACGGACTAACACACGTAAAGAAGGGATTTCTAAAAGGCATATATAAAGGATATTTGCTGATGGACTGGAAAATGTGTGGTAAAGTATTCTCTCAATCGAAAAAGATCGCTTTCCAGAGTCGGGAATCACGACCTACTCGTTCGAAAGCTTTCGGGGCCCCAAGGACCCCTGTCCAACAAATAAGACCTGTTCCATCACCTTCGAAAACTTCTCTTTTCGATGGTAATGCGGGGCTGCGATCTCTTTCCCCGTGACCGGAAGCGACCATCGGCGTCACGATCCGACCAACGGAATCCACCGGCATTACCCCCACCCCCCTTTCATCAGGGTTCCACCCCACTCTCACAAAGAGAGAAAGCGCCTGCCAAAACTTTAGATTGAGTCCCCTCCCGGGGCGGGGAGTCAGTCCGGCGGAGGAGTTAAACCGCCTCCTTCAAGACTCCTGAGAGCCCCGGGGGCCCGCGGTGGGGCGCATGACTGCCTCTTCCCTCCCGCTGTCAGCATATCCCTGCCAGAACTTGGCACCGTGACACCGCCCAGGCTTGTTGAGTTGGACGGCGACCGGACGCCAGTCGGTCCCGAGTCACTGTCCTGGTACCGTACGGTACTGCACTTTCTTTACTCAAAGTTAAGTTAAAGATCACCCTTGTACGAGCCTCCGAGGACAATCCTCGGATCCGATCAGGAGAGTCGAGGAAGCTGCGGCTTGACCCTGACTCTGTCGCACGTGTGCCGCTGTCGCGGCGGCCGCAACTCGGATCCGACGGGGGCCTGCCTCGGCGGATTTCCAACTTCAAGCCTTCAAGGCTTCGGACTTGGCCGGCGCGGCGGCCCGTAGTCGGCGTCAGAGGGCCGGGCTACGAGGGCCAATCCGATGGCTGATCGGACTCGACGGTCCGATCGGATCGGACCCGGCGGCGCCGCCGCGTGTTGACTAGCACGCCGCAAATTGAGATTCGAGAAGACAACTTTGATCGCAATTCTGCATTACGGTGGCACGACTGCCATCGGACGGTGTCCGGGGCCGCCGCCGGGCCGGGCGGCGATCGGACGGTGAGCCTGCAGTGCGGATTCAAGTAGCGGCTGCAACAAACTTGAAAGATTGCCAGCCTTATTGACTCTGAGTCAATGAGCGCTCACGGCCGGCCTCGGGCCGGGCCAGGATCCGATGCCGATCATCGATCCGGGTCCGACCTTACCCGGACCGGGATCCGGGACTCGCCGGGCCGGGCCGAGGATCCGGGACCGACTTGCCAAATTGAAAACACTGGCCGCACCAGTAGTGATCGGGCCGGCAGCGGAGGTCCGTCAGTTGAAATGCTGGTAGAACTGAGGGAAGGGAGGGAAGGGAGGGAGAGAAGGAGAGAAGGTGACGCGGGTGGAGTGAGAAAGGAGAGGACAGGGTAGGGGATAGAAGTCCAATGGATCTGAGGGATGTGGGTAGAGCAGAGGAGGCTCTCAACAACGCAACTTTGGCGACGGTGCTTGTAGATGACAAAGAATGAGCGACAAAAAACTTCAACCGGGAGATTGCAATGACTCGATGGTGCAGATGAGAACCTGATGTTGTTCAGCGGAGCTTGAGGATGTTGACTCCGAGTTGAAAGGATTCAGAAGACCTCGGGAGTGAGTTTGGTTGTTCGAACTGCAAGTGCGAGTTGGGACAAGAAGCTTTGTAGAGGATGGGACCAAAGAAAGGAGCTGCGGCAGGAGGAAAGGCGGCAAAGAAGGCTGAAGAAGCAGCAAGAAAGGCTGAGGAGGAGAGGCTGGCATTCCTGGCTGAGCAGGTGAGAGGCTGAGAGGACTGACGGCGTCTGCTCCAGCAAGCTGAACGTTCACGTGAAGGAACGGTTGGAGCGAGAGAGAATCGAGAGAGAGGAGGAAGAAAAACGTCTGGCGGAAGAGAAGCGCCAGGTGAGCTGTTGGAGAGGATGCTGTCTTGAGTAGAATCCTGCCTGTCAGTGCTCTGACGAGACGACAGTGGCTGGAAGTGGAAGGGCGGAGGCTGCAGGAGGAGAAGGACGATTTGTTCCCCCTGCTGCAGATGAGAGCGCATCAGTTGGTGGTGGAGGAGGCCGGGAGGAGGGAGCAGGAGGAGTGGCACAACTTCCTTGCTTGCACTCACCTCCCGGATGTTCGCAACGACGCAGATCTGAGCACTTACATCACGTTATGGTCGACATCTTGCCTGTGGAACATGCTCGGCAAGGTTGTCTGACCTGATATGCAGGCGCGAGGATCCAGTCCCAGATATCCACACGGCTCTGAAGGAGGCGCAGAATGCAATAGAGGTGATTCTCGGGCTCGAGAAATTGCTGGCAGTCGCTGTGGTGAGCGGTGCCATGCTGAGGGTAGGGAGGAGCCTGACGCACGTGATGCAGTCGAAGAACGAGGAAGAAGCTCTGAACAAGTATGAGCAGTTCATCAAGACCCTCCAAGATCTCATCCTTATGAAGCTCGACCATGTGTGTACAGGGCTGCTGCTCTGGCCTGTTGACACCGCGCATCGTTGACATGTCAGAGCAGGCAACGGCCAAGATCCTAGAGAATCTCGACGACCACGTGACGAAAGATAACATCTGTCAAATCGACCTCTCTACAGTGCTGCAGAAGTACGGCATGTGGGTGAACGTCGCCAAGAATCTAAGGCTGAAGAACATAGAGTATCCTTCCCTTGGGTTGCACACCGATATCCCCCGCCCCATCATCCTTCAGACTGTTGCTGTTCGGATGATGCATTTCAGGAAAGACATTCTGAGCAGCCCTTCACAGGCAGAGGACTTCTTCACCATCGGCGGCATCCTCTACATCGAGGTGCTGGAGGTCCCGGACAGGCCCAAGGCCATCAAGTCGCACGTCTCGGAGGCCAAGGACTCGGGAAGATGGATGATAGTCAAAATCACTTCGAGCAGCGGGGACGTGATACGGCAGGTGTATCCTCCCATCGACCCTGTGACGGGCCTCGTCCAAACCATCGGCATCCCCCCCATGCAGGTCAAGTGGCACCTGCCCCAAGACGTCCTCCTCCCCTCCGGCGACGCTCCTCGCCTTGGGTGGTGGGAGCACGAGAAGAAGGAGTGGAGCGACGACGGCATCACTGACGTTTCGCTCGAGAGCAAGGACGGCGAACGTATCCTCAGCTTCTCGACACTGCACCTGACCACCATCGCCATGCTCCAGAGTCGCTGGTCCTGCTTCCCCTTCCAGTCCTGGATGCTGTACCCCACAGGCACAAACCGGGCAATCCTCAGCGTCGACCTCAACGGCGACATGACGATCAAGTTCGAGATCGGAGCAGGGAGGTGCAGGCTGGTATGGCCGGAGGACGAGTCGCTCAAGGTGCTGAAGGAGAAGCCGCTGCCTGCCATGGAGATGCTGAAGAAAATGAAGTTCCACGGGTTAAACCTCATCCCCATCGACGAGGACGCGGAGAAGATCAGTGAGAGACCTTGGAGCCTCTCTTCTCTCCCAGCACCCCCCTTAGCACCTCCTCTTCCTCCTCCTCCTCCTCCTCCTCCTCTTCCTCCTCCTCCTCCACCTCCTCCTCCTTCTCCACCTCCTCCTCCTCCTCCTCCTCCTCTGATCGCATGTTCCCCAGGTACAGACAAGATGGACGCCGTGAAGTGCCTGAAGCATCGGGCGCTGGAGGAGAGGGCGTGTGCTGGGCTCAGCCTCCTCGCTCCCTCTTTCTCTTTGTGTCAGAGCCCTCTCAACCCTACCATCGGCCCTATGGAGCTGCTTGTACGCGTCTCTCAGACTACCGACTTCCGTAGCCTTCCACTCCACTCCAGTACGTCTCCCTCCCTCCTCCTCCTCTTCCTCCTCCTCTTCCTCCTTTTCTTCTCTTGGCATCCTCCCCTCTCCCGTCTCCCCTTCTTTCCTCTCTCCTCCATTCTCTCCCGCCCTCCTATCTCCCTCTTGCTCCATACCTCTTCCTCTTCGTTTTCCTCGTCCTCGATCTCTTCATCTACCTCGTCCTCTTCATCTACCCGTACCTCTACCTCTACCTCTTCCTCCAATCTTCCGCCAATCTCCCTCTTTTCCTCTCCCTCCTCTCACCTCTTCCTCTCTCCCTGCCTCCTTCTCATCCTTACCCTGCTGAGACCTCGCCTTGTAGCCGACGAGTCTTTCCGCACCCTCCACTTCCGAGAAGCCACGGGGGAAGAGGAGCTCAGCTACTGCCTGATCGCAGAGCCCAAGGTGGACTCAGCGCAGAGCAGCGAGGACGGGAAGATCTTTGACAGCAGCGGCGTCAACGTCGCTCCTCCTGCCGTGGGACTCGAGACGAAGTTCTATCCTCTCACTGCCATCCGCGAGATCGCCGACGAGTCCGCGCTGCATCGATGCCAGGAGTCGTGAGTCGTTGCTCCTGCTCCTCCCCACTTCCCCCCTCTCTGCCTGCCTGCCTGCCTGCCTGCCTGCCTGCCTGCCTGCCTGCCTGCCTGCCTGCCTGCCTGCCTGCCTGCCTGCCTGCCTGCCTGCCTGCCTGCCTGCCTGCCTGCCTGCCTGCCTGCCTGCCTGCCTGCCTGCCTGCCTGCCTGCCTGCCTGCCTGCCTGCCTGCCTGCCCTGCCTTCAAACCACTCCCTCCCCTCTTCCTCGCTCTCACTTCCTCCTCCAGGTCTGCAAGCTTCACAGAGAGCGTCCGCGTCATGCTCAGCGGCATGCGGCTGCTCAGCTTCGTGAAGCCACCGATGAAGCCGGATACACCGAGGGAGGAGGGAGGAGAGGAAGAGAAACAGGTTGAGCTTGCTTCCGCGCTTGATTGTATGGCGATGACGACGATGGCAGGAGGGACAGGAAGAGGAAGGAGCCGAGAAGAACGAGGAAGGTCAAACCAACACAGAAGAGAGAGAGAAGGAGAAGAAGGAAGAGAAGGAGAACAAAGAAGACAAGGAGAAGGAGAATAAGGAAGAGAAGGAGAAGAAAGAAGAGGAGAAAGGTGAGTTGCGGCGGGAATCGACATGGTCAATGGTTTTGACGTGAATGTTGTCAGCACAAGAGGGGGGAGATGGAGGAGGAGAAGCGAAATGAACGAGAAACTGTGGAGGATGAAGAAGGGAAAGGAAGAGCGAGGAGACACATGTTGTCTCGAGATGCTCTTAGTCTCTTGTTCAAGAAATTTCAATCGATGTATCACAATGGAAGTGCAAACACAAGTTTCCCGCAACAAGCAATGAAGGAGGGAGAAATCGGATCTTTCACAACCTTGCGAACCTTCACAACATCTTCCAAGACTACCACCATTCCCTTCCTTTCATGCATTCTTCCTTTCATCCTCTCTGCATGCTCCATTGATAGCGGGAAAACTTTGAGGCACGAAGCAACGACTCACGCACTTTGATCGGCTCTTTAGGTACAACAAGAAACCAGAACAAATTCATCACATGTGAAAACAAGAAGGAAGCAAATCAACACAGGAGTAAACAACCTTGCTCTCCTCAGCAGTTGTCCACACTCGGTTCTCAGTTAACAGCAGGGAACACCCTTTGTGCTGCTACACGTCATTGACGGAAACTGCCAGGCAGACAAGCCTTATCTCTCCTCATGCCCTCTACTTCCCCATCTCCTGCCGTACGATAGCAGTGATCTCCGCCATCGCCTTCGATCGTCGATCTGGGTACTTGCGGAACAGATTCCTCTGATCAGTGGTGTAGATCTTCCGCTTTGCGCCGTTCTCGCACTTGTAGATGACGACGAAAATCGCACCCATCCTGTCGATGCAAGACGTCTGTGGAGGAAGAGCAGGTTAGGAGGAGGACAAATGGGTGTCCTAGGGAGCGCAAAGAGAGTTGCTCGTCATATCAACGGGAGGGGAAGGAGGCTGAGCAAGAGGTACGAAAGCTTGCTGTCTGCAAAGAAGGGGGGTCGAGGATGGCAGGAGAGCAGAGCAAATCAAGTCGTACTCTCAAACATGCTTTCGTATATCACATGTCAAGGATCCATGAAACAACAACTTTCTGCCCTCCGCTTCCCCTTCCTGTTCACCATCTTGAACATCACTGATTATGGCTGAGGACAACAAGACAGAACTCATATGGGGAATGAAAGAGTCCACCATGTTCTCGGACAACAAGTCAGGATTCACATGAATGGAACCACCATGTTACCTAAGGATACGAACAACTGACAGGGACAGCTCATATCAACTCACCGAGATCTTGGCAGAAGGAGCACCGGCAGCGACTGCTTCGCTTGCCGACCTCATCTCCTGCACATTCAAACTGATCAGAGAAGGCCAAGAAACATAGATCCACATGACGATCATGGCAGATGCACTGCTCGATGGATTTGAGCTAGCAATGCAATGCGATACATGACATTCAGAAGGAGAAAGAGAGTAGAGAGGAAGAACACGATGCTACTTTGTTCCCATCGATGATGATAATGATGAGGGCGACGAGGACAAGGACGAGGACATGAAAGACCAGGAAGGGGAGCAAAAAGACAACGAGGAGGAGGAAGACCATTGCGAGGACGAAGGACGAGGATCGCATCATGTCGATCATGAAGAGGAAGAGACCATTGTTGTTGTCGTTACCTGCCTCCCACCATCTCAGTTGGAGCAATATTCCACAACGAACTCTGCCATTATCGCACTGATCGCTACGGTCTCATCCCTACCCCCATCCTTTTCAACCGAACCCCACCCAATCTGACTACCCCCACCCTCGTGACAAACAGAGTACCCCTCATTTTGACTTCAAAAGTACCCCTATTTGCAGAGTAAAGTTTACTCCCACCTGCTCCCAAGTCACCCATGAAGATCATGACCCAGTAGAAATGACCACCCTACCCAAGTCAACAAGAACCCTGGCTTCATCTTAATGCAACACTCTCACCCCTCCCAAATACTCAAAATCACCCCCTCTTTTGAATGTCATGTCCACCCATCGATCACCCCACCCTACCTCCACGGGGAGTAGCTGACTTGCTGACTGGAGGTACCCCCAGCAAATTGCTTAGCTCTGTGGGGGTGGGGGTGGTATGCGATAGGCTCGCCTCAGTGTCGGGAGTCGCCATGATTCTAGAAGGGGGCTGTCATTGTGGGAGTGTCAGAGTGGAGGTGAAGATGGAGGAGGAGGAGGAGGAGGAGACAAGATCAGTGGCAAGCAGGGAAGAAGGAGATGAACGTTGCAAAGTCAAGGGAGATGGCAATGGGAAGTCGAGCAAGAGGAAGAAGAAGGTCATCTGTTACGATTGCAATTGCTCGATATGTTACATGCGGCGAAACACGCACTTCGTCGTCCCGCTATCCAAGTTTCGAATCGTTCAAGGCGAGGAGAAGCTTACAACATACAGGTACAACACGCGGGTGGCAAGGCACACTTTCTGCTCTATTTGTGGGATCAGCAGTTTCTATTATCCTCGATCGAACCCTGATGGAGTTGCCGTCACGCTATGGTGCTTAGACAAGCGGATCGCAGAAGACGAAGACTTTGATGTGGAGATCAGATATTTCGATGGGCTGAACTGGGAACAGAACATTGACAAGTCTGGGATCTCAGAGATGTCCAAGGAATAAAACAAGTCTAGGTTGTTACTGAGTTTTAGAATGTCCGATTGATGCTCAACCATGCTCAACCATGCGGCCTGGTTGCTCTCAGGAGATTCAGGCTGCGATACTCTGCATTGTCCTGTGAGCAGATTACTCGATGAGATGCTATGTCAAAGATGGGACTCAACCTGAGTCAATCCGTGCAACGGAATCTGGACTACTTCCTCCAATGTCAGGCCTTCTTCGGTGAGAATTCTCTTCAAGAAATCAGGAGAGCTGCACAGTTTCCAGTCAGGCAGGCATCAGGCAAGGATAGATCGATATGGTGCATGTGAGCGTTGCGTCATAACATGGTTCAAACACTGACAACTTGCCTTCTTTTCAAGAGTTGCCCTCCTGCAATGAACACAAACGTAGCGTTTTTATGTTGTGCGCAGAGGCTCCGAACGATGTCACGAACGTAGCCCGCATATGGCAACTGTGCAAAATGCGATCACAGCAGGAAAGACTTGCAGCAATCACAGACTTTGAGGTTCTTGCCGAAAGGAAGGTTTGAGACAACATGGGTTACAGGCATCTGCAATGCGGTCAGAAGATGCTAGGAAAGGGAAAGTAGAGAAAGTGATAGCCCAAGGGGAAAAGAGACAGAGAAAAGAAAAAATGCACTACGTTGCTCAGAGGTGGCAGGCTGGCGGACATCGGTGAACTCGAAGCCTGGAGAAAGAGTGAAAGGAAGTCGTCGATTCCTTGTCAAAGAATTCACAACAATCTGAGCATCGCCTCACCAGCAAGCTCTCCCTACTGTCGTGTTGAGCAATTACACAGCCTTCCTCTAACTGATACGACTTTCGAAGAAACCCTCCTCCCCTTGTCGCATATCCCACTGTTTCCAAATTTTTCCTTGCCTGCAGAGTTCAATCAGTCACAACCAAACGGTTCAAAGTCCACCTGCATTGCCATCGATGGATTAATCTCAAATCCCACAGCATTCAGCCCCCTTTCTAACGCCTACAGAGAACTGAGGTCAGACCCACAGAAAAATCGAATCACCAATTGAGCTGTGCAGGCAATCTCGAAAGCGAGGAGAGAGCAGGGTGGAGGCATTCATTTTTGATGCTTGCTCTCCTAATCTTAACCAACCTCCTACACACCCGCACATGCATGTAGATACTCTTACAGCGTAGAGGATCGTTCCTGAGCCACAGCAAGGGTCCAACAGCAAGTCCCCTTCCCTTGCGCCAGCGATGTTCACCGCAGCTTCTGCGATCAACAGCGGAAGAGCAGACGAGAACTGTGAGTTTAGAGTGACTTCCAACGAGCTCGAAATCTCCTGCTTCACTTACCTTGCAGGGCCTTCTCGACCACTCCACCTCTGAGAGAGATCTCTGTGCATGATTGTGGGACCACGTCGTCAACCCGAGCAGATATCCTTTTGAAGACTCCAACAAGGTAAACAGGAGATTCGGCTTGTCAAAATTAGGAGCTCCAACGATGCAGCGGGCAAACATGGCTGAGATCTCCATTCGACTCCTCCGCTCTCCGTCTCCCTCCTGCTCAGACGATGTCTTCAAACGCTCTACATGGAGGTCCCAGCCGTCACAGGCGAGCGTCCATCCACCAACCTCTTCTATAAGATCCTCTACCGTCTCGTGGTGCGCAGACAAGGGTGCGATCTGAGCACGAACGCACGTCATGGCCTCGAGAGTGTCCGTGGGGACGGCAGCAGGGGATTTCCAAACAAACCTGTTGCCCTCATACATTTGAGTCACTCCTGAAGGGATCCCAAACGTGTTCCTCACTTCTGCTTCACTAAGTTCTCCCCACTTGGGCTTCTTCCCAAGGATCAGAATCCTTTGACCTTTGTCACCGATCGCCCCTCCATAGCTCTTGAGAAAATGCTTAGCATACTCGCCGTCCACGTGGGGGAACTTTCCTTTCCGGGCTGTGATCTGCTGATTTCCCCGCACATGAAACCTCCTAAACTCACTCCATGACTGCAGATCCTTTCGGCGGCAAGGTGAAGAGGGATGCAAGAAAGAAGAGCTCTTCTTCAAGATGTGTGGGCTCGTTATGAAACAACTCACATGCCCATGGGAGCCTGAGACGCAGCGGAGCAGCTCCAAAGAGATGCAGCATGGCAGGAGCATCCGTGCTCTTACTTGCATCCTCCTCTCCTCCAGTCTCCCTCCACTGCTTCCCCTCGCGCCATCCCTAGCGACTGCCGTCATTGCGCTGCCACTAGTCGCATTGTTGTCGTCCTTGTCCCTCATCTCCACTCATGCCCTGCAAGATCTCCCCAGGTTGACGGTTATACTCGTTACAAATTGCATGACTCAGGTGGTACGTTTTAATTTGACTACCGGTAATTTTCTTCTCAAAAAGAGGGGTAATTACGATGGCGGGGACAGAAAAAGCGTGATTCGTTCGCATCATATCAAGGGGTGGGTAGTAGAACCTACCCATAGCACGAAAGGGGGGTCAAAGGAGGGTGGTCAAATGAAGGGGAGCTTCAAGGGGGTTTGTTGCTATGGCGGGGTACCAAAAGGGAGCGCCATGGGAGGAGGAGGTGGAGGAGGAGGAGGAGAAGGAGAAGAAGATACAGGACAGAGAGAGGCGGAGGAGGAGCAGAAGTGCTGGTGATAAGAAGCATTGATTGGAAGGGGTGAAATGGGAGCATCGGGCGCCAAACAAACACCTGCGATGAGTGGGAAGGGTTGTTGGACGCAAACAGCTTTCGAGAAACGACGTAGAACTTAAGTCTAGCGTCTACAAGCACATCACAACTGCAATGCAAACTCCCGGTGTCTTTGAGGTGGAGCAGATCTGGACAGACTCTGAGGACAACTACTCGGAGACGCTTAGCATCGCTGAGAATGAGCAGGTGCATGAGTGGACAGGTCAGCGCCAAGGAGATGAAGGCCCTGCCGCAGGGATGGCCGATGCAAGCCTGAACAATGACTGGGAGCAATCAGGAAGAGACTTTATGATTGAGCTGAGTGGTGACAACAGCGACAATGCAGAGAATTCATACATCGGTACCATAGCAGATGGCCAGGACGTGCCGAGTGGTTCACAATACGTTCAAAGCTCCAATGAGGAATCGGAAGAGGACATGATTGGACTGGCGATTGCTGGGGCTGTTGCTGGGGCTGTTGCTGGGGCCATGGCAGGGACGTTTGCGAACGATGGGGCGAATACCAATCCACCGTTGCTGCATCAAGGGAACCCACAGAATGGTGAAAATGAGGGAGCGGCGTCAGAAACTGTGACCAGGACAGGCTTTGGAACCAAGACATGGAGAGATGGGAGCAAGTATGAGGGAGAATGGCTAGACGGGAAGATGACAGGTTTCGGGAGGATGCGTTGGGCGGACGGCAGAATTTATATGGGGGAGTGGCAAGATAATCGTTGTGAGGGTAGAGGCTTGCTCACTTACAAGGATGGGAGGCGGTATGAAGGCGAGTACAAGTGTGACAAGATGCATGGGAAAGGCGTGTATGAGTGGTCTGAAGGAGCGAGATACGTCGGTGACTACTTCGAGCACAAGAAGCATGGTAGGGGGATCATGATATGGAAGACTGGGGGGCGCTATGAGGGAGAATATGTGAACGACAAGATGACAGGGTATGGGCTGATGACCTGGGCAGACGGTCGCCGATACGAGGGTTACTGGCTTGAAGGCAGGTGTACAGGAAGGGGAACGACGACTTTCAAGAGTGGTAGCAAGTACGAAGGGGAGTACTTCCGCGATAAGATGGATGGACACGGTTTCTACTACTTTGCAGATGGAAGAAGGTATGAAGGCAGGTACCAATCTAACCAGAAGCATGGGAGAGGCGTGTACATGTGGACCGACGGGTTGATCTTCGCTGGAGAGTGGAACAAGGGGTCTCCGAGCAATGGAATCGTTCTGTTTCCAGGAGGGGAGTGCGCAAGGAGTCAAGCTGCCCATTCTGGATGCTGTCCAGACGTGGCTGTACAGAAGCTGAGGGAAGAGGCGCTGGAGTGGATATGCAACATCGACCCAACGTACATGTCAAAGATTGATGAGCAAGGATCTCAGAGTGTCGTGAAGAGCGTGAGGAACGTGAAGCAGGCGAAGAATATGATGAGAGAGATGCTGTCAAGAGGGTCGAGGAAGTCGCAGGCGCACGACTATCAGACGACTGCCTTTCATAACGTCTCAGCTGTGGATGATCAAGGATCAACCCCCACGTCTGGCAACTCCGGCGCCTTTGCATCCAGGTTTTCCCATCTGAGCAGAATGTTCCATCGAGTACCTCCAGAGACAGAAGCAACTTCTAGAGCAGCGAGCGAGAATGCCTCGTCGGGACACTGTCGATACAGGCATGACGGGACACGGACGACAGTCACTGGTGGAAGGAGCAGGGACGGGAAGTACAGGATAGGGTGGAGGGCCACTGAGCTGAAAGAAGGTGACCTTTGGTTTTTCTTTGGAAGCCTCCTGGACAGGGATGGAAACCGAGAGGGTTTGACCACTTCCTCGCCGCTCTACGTAGCATGCAGAGATGGTCTCCTCGACGTCATAGTCTGGTACCTGCGGGCTGGCTGTGCAGATTTGGAGACAAGGTTCGAAGGAGGAAGGACCCCTCTGCTGGTAGCGGCTGCTTCTGGGCGCCCTGAGGTTTGCATGTCAATCTAGACCTTTCTTCTTCTGATCCACTCCTTGTCGAACTCCTCGTACTCGCCATTAGTCCCTACCTGTCTCTTCCTCTTGTTCCATTCCCTTCCAGATAACGCCCGATCCCTCTGAGCTGTGTTGCATACTTGTTCCTTTGCGTTGGTAGCTCCTCACGTTTAACTTCAGGTCGTCCTGTACCTTCTTGACAAGGGATGTGATACCAGTGTCGTTGACAACGACGGCAAAAGTGCCCTGGAGCTTGCGTGCGAGGCCGGATGCAGCCGAAGTTCGCATGCGCTTGCTAGGAAGTGCACGTCAGAGAGGATCTTGGAGCTGTTTGCGCAGCATCTTGCTCTGATCAAGACGGAATCGGAGAACTCGTCGACCTCCGATACGACGAAGTTGATGCTGGACGCGATTTTGAGGGTGTGGCTGACCTGGAGCATCGACAAGTCTTTCATGGTCAAGCTGAGCGCAGACAGGACAGCGATCGAGTTTGTTGTACAGTACTGCGTGTCACAGCACCGCCTCTGCAAGGCGGCGATCAACTTGCTACAAAGAATCATACTGATATCAAAGGATAATGTCAACAGCCTAGTCATCCTGGAGGTCATCCTGGCCCGCGACATCGGGATGGCTGAGCCATTCAACCTCTTCTGGAGCTGCGATCGCAGTTTCAGCATCGTCGAGGGCCCGACTGAAGAGATTCAGGCGACAGAGAGGAAGTCGAACGAGGAAGCGGAGCTGGGTGCGATGCAAGGGGGGAGGGAGCTTGTTCAACATGCGACGGAGGTCGCGGGCTGCTTGCGAGAGATCACAAGGGACTTCATCTCCTCGATCAAGGTCTTGTACATCTTCAGCAACCACTCACTCTCTACTATCCCGAGCATCGTTGGGGTCTGTCGCTTCCTCACTGAGCTCCAAGTCGAGGACGTCAAGCTCCAGGCGCTACCCAGCTCCCTTTCAGCTTGCACTAACCTCACTTCCCTCACCGTGATGAACTGCTGCATCAGCATCTTCCCGTCCGTCATTGTGAAACTCAGACATCTCATCGCGCTGAACCTTGTTGGCAACTTGATCCGCATTGTCCCTTCCTCCATCCGCGCTCTGCAGTCCCTGGAGACCATCAACTTGTCGTCCAACGTGATATCAACCGTCCCGCATGCCATGACAGCTTTGCAATCGTTGCAGGAGATCATTTTTAGCGACAACAAGCTGAAACTATGCGATGTCAAATTTGAAAAGATGCAGTCGCTGCGTGTCATGGACGTCAATCGTAACAGAGGCTTTGCATTCTCTGTCAAGTTGCCGGGATCTCAGTTTTTGACCAAGTTGTCACTGTCTGGAACAATGTTCCGTCATGCAGACGACACGACGAACTCGCTTGCCTTCCCCACTCTCAAGTATCTGGACTTGTCTCACAACAACATGAAGAGAATTCCAAAGTTTGTGTGGGGCTGCAAAGAGCTCAACATTCTGCACCTCAACAACAACAGGTGAGATGTCACGAGCCCACTCATCAGTGTCTGATCTTGTTTGTAAAAGCATCGAAGGTCTGCCGTTGGAGCTGGGAGAGCTGCAAGAGTTGAGATACCTGAATCTTGAAGCAAACAACATCTTCTTCCTACCGCCAAGGTAATATGTCATCATCGTCGAACCTTTGCTTTATGTTCTTGCACAGCGGTGTTCTTTGTTTGTATAATTCCTGCATTGTATAGTCTACTTGTCCTGTGTACGTGTACGTGTATGCCAGAGATCTTAGTCAGGATTTGTCCTGAAAATCTGCTTGTTTGTTTCGTTCCTCACTTCTTGCTCTAGCATCTGCAAGACCAAGATAATAGCGAGCAAAGGACTCTGTGTGGAGGGGAACAAACTTCAGAATCAGCTGTCAGTCCAGCTGAACTCGTCCATTCCCTCCTCTCCCAGTAAGGACGAGCGGAAGCAAGACCTTCAGTACGACGACGTGATACACTTACTGGATGACCTGTGGGACCTGGAAAACGCCAAACGTCAGGTTGCAGCTTGCTTTGTGGCAGTATTGACGATACTGACTGAAACATGAAGATCTTTTTGATGACAGTCGTGGTCCATGGCCCGGTGGATGAAGATTGCAAGACTGACTTGCTGCAAAGTTTGCTGCAGCCAAGGAACAAGAAGGGCATTGAGATGCTACGGGTGTTCAGCAAGGCCGAGCATCGTGCAGAGAGATCGCAGCGCACTGAGTCAGAGAAGCTTTTCTCCGTCTTCATGTCCGACACTTTCGACGTTGATGGAAAAAAGGTGCTCAGAGATCAAACCATCCCTTCCTCCTCTTCTGTCTCATCAGCACTGCTTCCTGCTATCCCCTCTCGTTCCATCCTTCCTCTCCATGCTGCCCTCTCCTCTCTCTTCTTCCCTTGTCGTCTCATTCTTCCCTCTTACTCTCTTCCTCTTCCCCCTTCCCCCCCCCTTCCATTTCCACGGCCTATCTATTCCTGTGCTTCTCCACCAGTGACTCGGCAAGGAAGAGGAGGGGTCTCCATCTTTCTCACCTTTTCCATCAGATGTTCGTGCAATTCGCCTCCACCAACGATCGTGTCCTGTCCACAGGACAGAGCAATGACATGATGGCGACGGCACATGAGCATTTACTCTGCAGCATGCTGCCTTGCCGGCAACTTCCCATCTTCGTCTGGGATGTCTTCCAACCTCTCCAGGAGGTCAAACGAGCGGCCGAGCGTTTCCTGCAAAGAATCTCGGAATGCTGGTGAGAGAAATGTCATCACATGTGTTGTTGCCCTCCACCACATCTGCCACCCGCCCTTCACAACATCTGCCCCTTCATTTCTCTCACATCATAATCATCATCACGATCATCATCACCATTACCATCATCATCATCATCATCATCATCATCATCATCATCATCATCATCATCATCATCATCATCATCATCATCATCATCATCATCATCATCATCATCATCATCATCATCATCATCATCATCATCATCATCATCATCATCACCCTCATCACCATCACCCTCACCATCATCACTACCACCATCATGTTCACACGTGGTCTGCAGCTCCAAGAGGTGCGCGGATGGAGTTTTTGCAGCATCCAGCAGCTGTAAAGGGTCTACCAAGCATCCCTTCAGCCAGGACTTCGGCATCATCCTCGTCTGCACTACTGACAGCAGGGAAGCGAACAGCTCGCAGAGAGGGGTGGCAAACTCTGCAGAGATTGTCAAATTCTTCACGCACTTTGAACATCGAAGTCGCGCGAGCGAAGCATCGTCGTCGTCATCATCATCATCCTCCTCCTCTTCCTCCTCCTCTTCCTCTTCCTCGTCCCATCGCCATCATCATCTTCGCCAGCAAGACGAGGGTCGATTCATCCCGTTTCAAGTCAAGTTGTTCCTCGCCTTCGACAAGCATCTCAAGGTCTTTGCGAGCGTTTCGTTGCAACAGCAAGGGCAGCAGGCCTGCGCGGTCAGGAAGGTTCACTTACGGCAGGACATTCTCCTCCTCTGCAAGGACATGCTGTTGCGGGATTCCTCCTTCCCCGACTCGCTCTTTCCTATCAAGATGTTCAGCTTCGTCAACCATGTTAAGCAGCGCATAGACAACAGAGGGGACAGGTTGATCCCTATCAGTGAGCTAAGGGAGACAGCAAGGAATGTCTTCGGCATCGTCGACCCTCTTCAGTTCTCCCAGTGCCTCAGCCTTATCTGCGATCTAGCGCACGCATTTATCCTCCCTTCCTCCTTCCGCGTGTCGAAGGAGCCCAGGGTCGTCGACAAGTTCTCTCGCCTCCTCGGTCGTCAGGCAGTTGAGAGAGACGTTCTGGTTCCGAAATGCGACTGGATCCCGTCCGTTCTGTCCTTGCTTGCATCGGACAAGCACCCGCCCGTTCCTCACGGCCGCTGCCAGGTTCGCGCTCTCAATCTCATTCTCCTCCTAACTCTCTCGGCTGAGTAGGATGGTGGCGAATCTGATCGTCGACCGAGCAAGGAAGAAGACTGCCTGCCCACTGGCAGTCACAGGAGGGCATTGCTGGATCATGAACGTGTGGAGGTGAGAACATGCGGAGGTGGAGAGGCGGGTGTGTAACATGTGCAAGCAGAGGCTGCGTCAAGCTCTGCCGGGCATCCGCTGGGATGTCACCTGCGTCATCCTGTGCAGACTTGGGCTCATCTCAGTTCGAATGATAGAGGACGCGGAAGGAGATCAGCAGCAGCAGCAAGATTCTGGGCGCCAGCGTCAGTCAGGGCTGGAAGAGGACGATGGTGTAGAGGGGGATGTCCAAAGCTGGGAGGAGACTGAGCAAGGGGAAACGCTGGAGGAGGAGGAGCAGGAGGCTGAGGGATCTGAAGCGAGCCATCATGAAAGGTTCGAGCAGCAGCAGCAGCCTCGGAATGAGAGCGGGGGGGGGCAGGAGAGCTTCGAGGAGCTCTTCGACCGCCATGGCGTTACTTTACACTTGAACTTCTGACGTCTCCGTATACTGATCGGCCCGCTGAGTGTAAACTATCGAGTCACTGAGTCACTGAGTCAAATCATTTGATGATCACACTGAATTTCAGCCTGTGGAAGCAATCAACAACTGAGTCACCGAGACCTCCTGCCTACTGTAAGGCAGCTCCCCGGGCCCATCGGGCCGGGTTGACATCCTGCCGCCGGGGAACGAGGCGCGGCCCGGGCCGGGGTGCCCGGAGGCGCGCACCGACTACCGGCCCCCGCGTACTAGGCTTTGCTAGTAGTACCGTGCTGTCACCAGTTGCAGCCGCAATAGTTGTCAAAATAACGGTAGTTGCGTGTAACGGTCTGAAATCCGCCTTCCATGGCCGGGTTGGCTGGGACGTAGAGCAGAGGATGGAGGAGGGAGGGAGGCGAAGAGAGAGCTTGAAGGAGAAGGAGGAGGAGGACGTTCCTTTCATCCTCGTCCAAGATCACGCGCAGGCACTGCCATGGAGGCGGCTGCTATGGCACCTTGGGCACTGGAAGAGCAAGAGGGAGGACGCCGTCTTCCTCGGGGCAGCGGTGGAGAACGGAGACAGAGCGGAGGTAGGGAAGCAGCTGAAATGGCGGTTTGAAAGACAGGTAATTGATGCATCGGTGATGTTGCGATCTCTGCTGCTCGTTGTCGATGCCGGCATTGCGCCTTCATGCTGATTGATGTTTCCTTGTTCTTCTCTTGTCCTTTCAAGGCACATTAGAAGAATTGAACATCATTCTCGCTCAAACACCATTCAGCTCCTTCGTGTCGTGTCGTTCTTTGCTTGCTCAGTCTCTGCCCTCCCCTGTCTTGTCGCATCTGCTGTCAAGCTATGCTCAACTACGAAATCATTCTGCCCCTCACCTCGCTTCACAGAGAATCGTCTTGGCGCTGGACATCAAGGGCTCACTGGCGACTGTTGTTGGGACGTCAAAGGACTGCCCTATCTTGCTGCTAGACAACATGTTTACCGGATCGATGCGGCTCCTGACTTTGCTGGCCCAGTCCATCACCGGGGTTCAAGAGGTCTTAATCTCGGTGATAGCGCAAGGGTCAACCATCGACGACGTGCGGGTCCTGTGCCATGAGGAGAGGATAGACAGCGAGGGACTGGATCACTTGCTCCAGAAGCTGAGCATGCAGTTCGATCTCCTCAAGAGGCAGATGGCGGTCGGGCTGTGGTGCAGCAGGGACTGTCTTGATAGCGAGAAAGGGACAACCAGGTCTGACCTGCAGCATCTGTTTGCAAACAGCATGCAGCTCCTTGAATCCATGAGCACAGAGGGCTGCCCTAACATCTTCCTCCTCACTGACGGGGTTGTCACCATGGGGAACGACCAGAGCGTCTTCCTCGATGTGGCCTCGTGCCTGAGGAGGAAGGACATCACCGTCCTGCTCTGCTACTACATGATCCCCGAGTTGAACGGGACATTCTCGCACGTCCCCGACCTTGACTTCCTGCGCAAGTTCGCTCGAGCATGCAACGGCTGCCACATCAGCATCGCATCCGACGACTTCGTTCTCCGGACTGCCATCTCCGTGGTCCTGTCACGGAGCACGCTGCTGGGCCCGAGCAGGGACTGGTTCACTGGATGGTACACGGACTGGGCAAGAGGGCCGAGCTCGTTCGGGGGGAGGGCAAGCGAAGTGAGGGTACTGAGGAAGGTGAACTTGAACAGCATGGGCGAGTGGAACGAGACGGAGAGGGCGGTAGAGGCTCGTTGCCTCGATGGCTTTCTGCTCGTCGACGTAGAGCTGAAGGAGGAAGAGGGGAGGAGGCAGGGCGAGCGGCAGGGAGCAGGGAGGAAGGGACCGGACGCTCTTGGGGTCATGATGCAGGACGGTCGCTCGTCGGCGCACGACGACATGGTGGAGAACATCGCAAGCAGGTCGAGGGATGCGGAACAGTGGGCGGCGATAGAGTTTGCGTTCCCCCTCCACGACTCTTTGGATGTTGTTTGCACGATCCGTAAGGGTGAGGGGCCAACGGACCCGGCGGGCCAACCCCTCTCGGGCTCGCAGCCGTCTGCCATCAAGGGCCTGACGGGAGTGATGGAGGTCGGGTGGAGGGCCGAGGAGAAGTTTGCGAAGAAACTGACGCCTTTCCTCGCATCGTTCTCACACGTGAGGGAGATAGTTTTGCCGTGATGGAAGTTGTGACATGTTGTTGCTTGCAGGACAAGACGCTCCATGATGTTGTGAAGCCCCACATTCAGAAGAATCATCGGAGGCGAGAAAAGATGCTTGAGAAGGTATACACAACATTCCTCTGTTCCATTTGATTTCATCTGCTGTCTTGCTTCTGTGCTGTGTTGGTCTTGTGAAGATTTGTTGCAATCTACTGGTTTTCCTTTTCTGATCGCTTTCTCAGATTGCACTTCGTCTCCTCGACTTCGTTCAAGCTCTTACAACCCTCGATCGCTTTCATCAGTGCATGTTTGCTCCCCAACTAGCATTTGCAGCTTTCTCACAGGTGTGTTGGTGAACCCTTTATTGTTGTGATTGTACTCAAATAGTTCACTTCTCTTGGTTTCTATGATTTGTTGTGTTGTACTTTGTTCTGTGTTGAGATAACCCTAAACCATATCTTGTTATTTTGTGCTATCGACTCTCTCCTGTCTACTACATTCTTCATACTCACTTTCTTGCTCTGATTGTTGTTTTCACTTGTTTCAGATGACAACGGTGGGATGGAGGACGAGGATGTCTTGTTACTTCGACACGCACAGTGTCGAGTTTCTTCTGTCGAGCAAAGTGGATTGGAAATGTCATTCCATCCATCGCGACAACTGCAGTTGTCTCGACACTTTCGTTCAGGTTAGCTCAGCTGCTATGATCCTGTTCCTGAACCAATCCTTATCCTCCCCCCCCCTCGCCCCGCCCCCCCTTTCTCCTCCTCCTCCTTCTTATCACCATCGTCATCGACATCATCATCATCATGATTATCATCCTCATCATCATCTCCATCATCTCCATCATCATCATCATCATCACCACCACCACCACCACCACCACCACCACCACCACCACCACCATCACCATCATCTCCATCATCATCATCATCATCACCACCACCACCACC